AGTTCCTCGGGCTCCCCTCTACAGAAACTACCTGGAGAGGGCGACAGGGCACTCCATCAGTCCCACATTTCTGCCTCAGAAGCACCATCCTTGAAAAAATCCAGAAATAATAAATTAGAGTTAGTGTAGTGCTTGTGAATCCTGGGAAGTGAAGGAAAATGATGCAACGTGGGTAAGCTGTGTAGAGTTAAGTTTTCCTTTTGGGACCTGCCAGTTCCTCGGGCTCCCCTGTACAGAAACCACCTGGAGAGGGCGACAGGGCAGTTCTGCAGCGGTGCCATCTCCAGCCCTGTACTTAGGGCTTAATTAAACAGTTCCTATAAGAGGTATTTTTTAAGTGTTGATTTCCTGTGTACTTGGGAAGTTCCATAACTGGTTATTCACCACTTCAGCTGGACACTCTTACCCTTTGATTATTATTCGTCGCACTTGTAGCACTGGTGGTCCAAGTATATGAGAGGCAAGGTATATGGGGGAAAGTAACACAGAGTGCTACAAGGGGGGAGAGATTTGTTTTATCAAGCCAACTGATTGAAAAAGCTATTTTGAAAAAGTGTAATAGCTTTCAGCACCCAGCCATCATGCTGTATTCTTATGACAGAGGGTTGATGTGATAAAAATCTCGGCATTATTTCTCCCTCTTCCTTCCTGGAAATGTTATCAGTTTGGTTAGCAAAGGCTCTCCCTCTAAAAATCTCTTTATTTTCATTTACTTTAACATTGGATATATCTGTATGTCACAATAAAGTGTTGTGCAAAGCCTTTGTGTACCCATAGTTGATGTAAATTGTAGGCCTTCATTCCATGCACGAAATTTTGATACTGTCATGTCAAGCGGTTATCAGGGTTTCAATTGAAATGTTTTCCCTTTGTATTTATATTTTTTTATTGACAAGTAAAAATCCTTTGGAGAGTTTTTATCTTTGACAGTCTGATTCTGTTCTGGTCTGATTCTGTTCAGGTTAGTGGGAATTTGGCTTTTGAATTCTTTGGCAACGTGATTAGGATCCAAGTGCAATTTGGGAAATGTTATCAGTTTGGTTAGCAAAGGCTCTCCCTCTAAAAATCTCTTTATTTTCATTTACTTTAACATTGGATATATCTGTATGTCACAATAAAGTGTTGTGCAAAGCCTTTGTGTACCCATAGTTGATGTAAATTGTAGGCCTTCATTCCATGCACGAAATTTTGATACTGTCATGTCAAGCGGTTATCAGGGTTTCAATTGAAATGTTTTCCCTTTGTATTTATATTTTTTTATTGACAAGTAAAAATCCTTTGGAGAGTTTTTATCTTTGACAGTCTGATTCTCTTCTGGTCTGATTGTGTTCAGGTTAGTGGGATTTTCACTTTTGAATTCTTTGGCATCGTGATTAGGATCCAAGTGCAATTTGCAATCATCCCATCAAGCTGAAAGTTCATTTTTTCACACTACTTTTGCGATGTTTCTTAAACGCTTCTTTAAGGCTTTATCCTTGTATGAATTGACTTATTCTGGACTTCTACAGATGCTTTCTCAGCTGATAACAGTGTAACTGGTTTTTAGTTTTGCTACTTTTACATGTTAAGCTGAAACCTTTTACATGTTAAGCTGGGAAAAAAAAAAAAAAGGCACCTTGTAGAACGTATTTATCCAGACAATGAGATGGTTAAAGGTGCTTTGAAATATATGCATTATAAGCATGTCTCAGTCACACTGACTTTAAGAAATAGCTAGATATATGCTGTTATATGTATAGCTAAATATATTCTTGCCTGATATTCCCACAGTTTTGGCATGCATTTCATAGGCTTTGAAGTGTGGTTTGTTCTTTTTTTTTTAACTGCTAAACTGGGAATAAGCTTGTAATAAATAAATTCTCATCTCTTTAAAGGCCCCTTTGTTTACAGTGTTTAAAATGAATTCTTATTTTGGGATTGCATCTGACTTTCTCCGTGAGAACACTCCCTTATCTATGTTTTGTTATTTTGCTACTGATTAACTTACAGCCTTATAATTATAGTGATGGCCTTTGTGAAAGCATAAACACAAAGACATCAGAACAAAACTGAACCATGGGTTTTATTGTAATTAGGCACCTCATAAAATAAATAGTTGATTTTTTTTTCATGGATGGGAATGTATACATTTTAAATATATCAAAAAAACAAGTATGAAAACATCTCACTTCTGAGGATAGTGAAACATTATTCTTTCTTTTTACAGGTAGGATAATTAGTCTACCTTGCCAAGATTGTTTCCTACATGGGCCTAGAGCTCAGAGTTTTTTTGTATCCTTAAAAAAAAATAATTGAAAGCATGAATGATTTTAGTGTATTGTATTATGTAATAGGCCTGCAGCTGACATGTGGGAATTAGTATTCTGATCTCTTAAACGTATCAGAATGGAATGTAAAGGTACCTTCCTTCTATTTATAAGAGAAGATTTCTGTCAGTACTCGTTACCTTAAGATAAGTCAGGAGATGCTTAGTGGAAGACAAGATTGTGTGTTAAAGCTAATTACTCTCTAAGGTGATGTAGCTGCAGGTGGCCTGAGTGAAGGGAGTCTCGACTTGCCACTCACGGTAGAAAGTGTTCTATCTCCATCAGTCCCACATTTCTGCCTCAGAAGCACCATCCTTGAAAAAATCCAGAAATAATAAATTAGAGTTAGTGTAGTGCTTGTGAATCCTGGGAAGTGAAGGAAAATGATGCAACGTGGGTAAGCTGTGTAGAGTTAAGTTTTCCTTTTGGGACCTGCCAGTTCCTCGGGCTCCCCTGTACAGAAACCACCTGGAGAGGGCGACAGGGCAGTTCTGCAGCGGTGCCATCTCCAGCCCTGTACTTAGGGCTTAATTAAACAGTTCCTATAAGAGGTATTTTTTAAGTGTTGATTTCCTGTGTACTTGGGAAGTTCCATAACTGGTTATTCACCACTTCAGCTGGACACTCTTACCCTTTGATTATTATTCGTCGCACTTGTAGCACTGGTGGTCCAAGTATATGAGAGGCAAGGTATATGGGGGAAAGTAACACAGAGTGCTACAAGGGGGGAGAGATTTGTTTTATCAAGCCAACTGATTGAAAAAGCTATTTTGAAAAAGTGTAATAGCTTTCAGCACCCAGCCATCATGCTGTATTCTTATGACAGAGGGTTGATGTGATAAAAATCTCGGCATTATTTCTCCCTCTTCCTTCCTGGAAATGTTATCAGTTTGGTTAGCAAAGGCTCTCCCTCTAAAAATCCCTTTATTTTCATTTACTTTAACATTGGATATATCTGTATGTCACAATAAAGTGTTGTGCAAAGCCTTTGTGTACCCATAGTTGATGTAAATTGTAGGCCTTCATTCCATGCACGAAATTTTGATACTGTCATGTCAAGTGGTTATCAGGGTTTCAATTGAAATGTTTTCCCTTTGTATTTATATTTTTTTATTGACAAGTAAAAATCCTTTGGAGAGTTTTTATCTTTGACAGTCTGATTCTGTTCTGGTCTGATTCTGTTCAGGTTAGTGGGAATTTGGCTTTTGAATTCTTTGGCAACGTGATTAGGATCCAAGTGCAATTTGCAATCATCCCATCAAGCTGAAAGTTCATTTTTTCACACTACTTTTGCGATGTTTCTTAAACGCTTCTTTAAGGCTTTATCCTTGTATGAATTGACTTATTCTGGACTTCTACAGATGCTTTCTCAGCTGATAACAGTGTAACTGGTTTTTAGTTTTGCTACTTTTACATGTTAAGCTGAAACCTTTTACATGTTAAGCTGGGAAAAAAAAAAAAAAGGCACCTTGTAGAACGTATTTATCCAGACAATGAGGTGGTTAAAAGTTCCTTGAAATATATGCATTCTAAGCATGTCTCAGTCACACTGACTTTAAGAAATAGCTAAGGAAAAAAAAAAAAAGGCACCTTGTAGAACGTATTTATCCAGACAATGAGATGGTTAAAGGTGCTTTGAAATATATGCATTATAAGCATGTCTCAGTCACACTGACTTTAAGAAATAGCTAGATATATGCTGTTATATGTATAGCTAAATATATTCTTGCCTGATATTCCCACAGTTTTGGCATGCATTTCATAGGCTTTGAAGTGTGGTTTGTTCTCTTTTTTTAAACTGCTAAACTGGGAATAAGCTTGTAATAAATAAATTCTCATCTCTTTAAAGGCCCCTTCGTTTACAGTGTTTAAAAAGAATTCTTATTTTGGGATTGCATCTGACTTTCTCTGTGAGAACACTCCCTTATCTATGTTTTGTTATTTTGCTACTGATTAACTTACAGCCTTATAATTATAGTGATGGCCTTTGTGAAAGCATAAACACAAAGACATCAGAACAAAACTGAACCATGGGTTTTATTGTAATTAGGCACCTCATAAAATAAATAGTTGATTTTTTTTTCATGGATGGGAATGTATACAGGCTTTGAAGTGTGGTTTGTTCTCTTTTTTTAAACTGCTAAACTGGGAATAAGCTTGTAATAAATAAATTCTCATCTCTTTAAAGGCCCCTTCGTTTACAGTGTTTAAAAAGAATTCTTATTTTGGGATTGCATCTGACTTTCTCCGTGAGAACACTCCCTTATCTATGTTTTGTTATTTTGCTACTGATTAACTTACAGCCTTATAATTATAGTGATGGCCTTTGTGAAAGCATAAACACAAAGACATCAGAACAAAACTGAACCATGGGTTTTATTGTAATTAGGCACCTCATAAAATAAATAGTTGAATTGTTTTTTCTGTATGGGATTGTATATATTTTAAATATATCAAAAAAACAAGTATGAAAACATCTCACTTCTGAGGTTAGTGAAACATTATTCTTTCTTTTTACAGGTAGGATAATTAGTCTACCTTGCCAAGATTGTTTCCTACATGGGCCTAGAGCTCAGGTTTTTTGTGTGTCCTTGTTTACAATAATTGAAAAGGCTCTTTTTAACTTTAGGGTCTAATCTCAGCATTTCAGAGTAAGGAATTCTGAACAATAAGATGGGTTTTTTTGTTTTCTAGGGTACCTTTGAAAGTGGAACAAGCAAACAATGCTCGTGATGCCTTGGCTAAAACAGTGTACAGTCATCTGTTTGACCACGTAGTGAACAGGGTAAACCAGTGTTTTCCCTTTGAGTCATCTTCTTTTTTCATCGGAGTTCTAGATATAGCTGGTTTTGGTAAGTATACTTAAAAACAAAATATTAATTTTCCAGTTGTCTGTTGCTGTCACCAATGATTCCATGATAAATCCTGTAATGGAGGGTGGGAGGGTTTTCTTTTTGGCTGGAATGTGTTATGTGGGCTTAAGGAGATCTCAAGAGAGTAGATAAAGTCTTAATTTCCTGAGATAGATAGAAGAATGTAGAGGTCTAGAAGAGGTCTAGAGCTTCTCCTGATGATTGAGTAATGCTAACAAGTGTTAGTGTGAAACTGGGCATCTTCGTAACAGTTTCAGATTCCTGCAGTGTCTTTGCAGACAGAAAGAAACATATGGATCCAAACACATCTTTAATTATTACCACTGTGAAGCTTTTTCTTTCTTCTGTGATTCTATGATATTTTTTTTAGTTACTATGTAATACAAGTTCTTGGAACACTGGTTTTTCATAGAAGTTTAACTTCTGTTTTTCAGAATACTTTGAACACAACAGTTTTGAACAATTCTGTATTAATTACTGTAATGAAAAACTGCAGCAGTTTTTTAATGAAAGGATTCTGAAAGAGGTATGTTACATTTATAATTGTATTTGAGGATTTATTTTTTTAGTAAGGAGATATTTAAGCACTGCTTTCTGTAAGATTGCACATTATGCTTAGATTAAAAAAAATTCAGTTGACAGATTGTTTTCCTGCTGCGTGGTGTCTGGTTGTGCTAGAAAAGAATATGGCTTTTTGAAAACCAACAATCATCTTTTCCCTTTGTCTTTTTTACCACTCATTAAAACAAGGCATCCAGGCACTGCACAGTATCTCATATGTAATGGCAATATTTAATTGCATGGGCCTGTCATTAAGGAGGTGAAGTCTATTAAACTACGGAGGGGAATTTTAAAATGTGTGTTGATCACGCTGTATTTAAAAATGTCTTCATGTTTATTTAGAAAAACATTTTTGGTGAGAAAAAAAATACAGTGAGTGATGGCTTCTCTTTTCAATTACTTTTTTTTTTTAAAGGAGCAAGAACTTTACCAAAAAGAAGGCCTGGGGGTTAATGAAGTGCGCTACGTAGATAATCAGGACTGTATAGGTACGTACGTGTTGACATGGCAAGCTATTTGTTAGTGTCATGGAGAAAATAAGCTTCAAGCAGAAGATGCAAAAGTGATTTTATACTTTTAATAACTGTTGCAGCCTTGTGAATTCTTCCAGCTTCTGTAACATTCCACTTCTGGTTGGGAGTAGAACCATGTTGTCCTACAGTGTGTGATAACTGCAGGCAGGAGTTCTGAATTTCTTCGAAAAGATATTTTTCTTAGGAAACTAATTACAACACCTGAATAGGGTAAATAAAGTGGAGAAGGCTGTGAGGGTGTCGGGGGTGGGTCTTTTTATGGTCTTGTCTAGTCAGGAGAGAAGGATTTTCTACCACTTTTCAAAGTGGGTGAGAAAAATCAAGTTGGTTTCTGTTGAAGTACAATTTTGTGTGAGGTGTTGGACCAGGCCAGTGACAGCAGTGAACATGTGGAAATATTAACTGTCACCAAAAAATAAGCTATTATGTTGACATGGACAATTTTTTAACACTATGGAAAAAGCTTAGAGATAGTCATTAGTATGTTAGAATGTTTTGATGGAGTGGTAGTCATCTCTGTAGCTAAATTAGTGCCTTTTCATGCTGTTAGTTTTAACTTGGTGAAACATGGATGAAAAAAGTTTAAAAAAAACCTCCCAACAATATAAACGATTATCCTTTGAAGACACATGGTTGTACCACAGAAGCATTTAAGCACCTTTTGGGAATTAGACAACTAAATTCAACTTGAGAGCCCGCGTAAAAATCAATCAATCCATGCCTGATCTTTTTTCCCTTGTGTTCTTTGTGTTAGAGTTAGAATTTGGTATGTATAGGATATCGATTAAATCAGCAATTCAGATATGTAGAATTAATTTGCAGTGACTTTCTGTATTTTGTGCTAACAGCTCTCCCTAGATACTGTGATACAGACTCACATCAGTAGCATTCTGAACTTGCAATGCTCAGCTCTGATATGAGGTTATATATCCAATTTTTGTAACCATATTTTGTTTTATTAATAGATTTGATTGAAGCGAAATTAATAGGTGTACTGGATATTTTGGATGAAGAAAATCGTCTTCCCCAACCGAGCGACCAGCATTTTACTTCAGTTGTGCACCAAAAACACAAGGACCATTTCAGACTCTCTGTAGGTTTATTTTTGTTGCCTGTCTTGTTTTAATAAAACAGTTCTTGGAACAGTTGATAGTAACCCTTGAATTTAATGAAAACCTTTCCTAAGAAATCTCATACCACACCAGTCTGCAGAATCCATATTCTTTTGTTAAGGAGAGGGTTGGTTATTAGGTTTATTGAGAAGTTCACTGGAAGCTTAAGTCTTCTAGGAATTCTAATATCCTGCTGAAACTGAAGCCGTATTCTTCACTCACATTTAAGTTTGTTACCATGTAATCCATGAAAAGGAAATAAAACCACATTTTAATTTAGATTATTTAATATCAGATGAACTATTTTGTTGTTCCTTTCAAAAATGGTTTGCTTTGGAGAATATCTGACTCGCGTGGAGTGAGTGTCCAGATGAACTATTTTGTTGTTCCTTTCAAAACTTGTTTGCTTTGGAGAATATCTGACTCACATGGACTTACGTGGAGTGAGTGTTGATCTATTGCTTCAGAGGTGAAAATAGGGAACACAGAAGGAGAGCCTCTTTGTTGTTGTTAATTGTTTAACATACAGCACTCTGTGGAAGACTAATGCAAATTAGTGCAATTTATGGACATGATTTCTGTTGAAATGCAAAGAAAAATAAAAAAAATCTCACCCAAAAACGTTAGTTCCCTGATGAAAAAACACAAGCAAAAGAAGCCAAATAAAATTGTTGCCCACTTAAGTTTCCACTTAATCTTGCTTAACTGGATTGCTGTGCACTGAAACTTTTTTGTTGGTGTGTGTAGTTGCCTTTTAAAAATATACCATCTAAAAACATATTTTAAGCTTCTGTCTAATCCAATTTGTATGACAGGGCTGTTAATCAGCTGTGGAACGAGTGGTATAGCAATTGATGATTAAAGACAAGAAGAAAATCAACTATCTGGTGTGTGTTAGCAATCCTGGTGACTTTCATTTTGAATGTGGAGTATCTAATGGTGGGAATGAGAATGAAATAGATTTTTGGAATATCTTGGTCTGAAGGGGAATGGCATGTATGACAGGGCTGTTAATCAGCTGTGGAATGAGTGGTATAGCAATTGTTGATTAAAGGCAAGAAGAAAATCAACTCTCTGGTGTTAGCAATCCTGGTGACTTTCATTTTGAATGTGGAGTATCTAATGGTGGGAATGAGAATGAAATAGATTTTTGGAATATCTTGGTCTGAAGGGGAATGGCAGTGGTCACCACAGTTGTACTGCAGGAAATCTAGTTTCTAACACGTAGGGCTCCTGGCAGAATCACAGTGATGTTTTAGGAACAAATTTTTCCTTAATCTCTGGTGTAATTCGTCTTTGTAATTCAACTTTTTTATTCCAGATTCCTAGGAAGTCTAAATTGGCTGTTCACAGAAATATCAGAGATGATGAAGGCTTTATTATCCGACACTTTGCAGGAGCAGTGTGCTACGAGACGGTAATTTTACTTACGCAAAACTCTTTTTGTTACAATTTGTATTTTACGTTTTTCAGTGTATATAGGTTAAATAACAAAATTTCCTTTCATCAGAAGAGAAACTCAAAAGTTGATATGTAGTAGCTTTGAAACTAATATTAGGAGTATATGACAGAATTAACACTTTCTATGAACTTCTCAGATTACAGACTGGTTTGGTGACAGGATTTTATGTAAGAGTTTGTGATGGATCTGTAGGTAATGGTGTCTATTAAATATATTGATTCATGATGTACTGCAATTCTTACATCAACGTCTTGGGGAGGGAATCTAATTATGTGATAAATAACTATTGTTAGACTTCAGAGTACCTTGTTGGAAAGAGTGCTTATCCTTATATGCGATCTTCTATTAAAAATCAGATTTTATACTTTCTGTTTTCCATTTCTTCTAGTGATAGAATCATTCATGTAAGATTATGAAATACCCAAAATTGTTACTCTCAAAATACATTGCTGATTGTTGTACTTTTTTCACTATTCATCATGCAAAAACATTGAAGCACCTGAAGCTAATATCCGAAACCTAATTTTTTTGGAAATAAAGAGTTTAGGATAAACAGAAGATCCATAACGCTTCATTGTTCTGGTCTGTAACTCCAGTTTCTGTAACTCTACTTTTGAAGATGGGGGGTTTTTTTGTGTGCTGAGTGCTGGAAGTGGAAACTAGGAGGATAATCATTGACAAAAACACAAGCCATCTCGAAAAGGCATAAACCTTCCCTTGGGTTTCATGATTTCAACATCCCTCAAATTTAAGAATACCTTTTCTCTCTGTCAGTAGTGTTTGTGCATCCAGTTAAAAAGTTGTTTGAAATAATGTTTGAATGTTTACCCCACATATTCTTGCTGATTTTTGAATTAAGTATATAACATTGTTTTCTTTAATTTTCTTTAAGACTTAAGTAACTGGGGCAGTGGAACAAATGTGCTATTATTTTTTGGGGTTGTCTTTTCAGATGCAATTTGTGGAAAAAAACAACGATGCTTTGCACATGTCCCTTGAATCTCTCATATGTGAATCCAAGGACAAGTTTGTTCGACAGCTGTTTGAATCTAACACCAACAACAACAGGGATCCCAAACAAAAAGCTGGGAAGCTTAGTTTCATCAGTGTGGGAAACAAATTCAAGGTAACATAATATAGCAAAGAATCTTAGCTTTTTGTATTAGATGCCACGTTTGAGTTACCTGAAATAAGTAGAACCAAAGGTTGGGAGAAGTAGTGGTAACTTGAGATTCATACAAGGAAAATTCTGTTAAATAGACCTTTTTTCTATTGAATTATAAGAAACCAGTATATTTAAGCTATGTGCTATGTGTTTCTGTCAAAAAGATGTTTCATAATAGTCCTTACAGTGTTTATACAGTAATTTTTAAGTCAGAATTTTGCAAACCACATGGAAGTCTTTATTCAAAAGGTTTAAAGTCTTGAGATCTGATTTTGGATTCAGTGGACTTTAAGGGGTTCTAAAATGTGACAAAATGTGGCACTTTGTCACATTTAATTGTGCGTTCTAGAAGATGTATTGATTTGCTACAGTTTGCCATTCTCAAAACTCAATACCAAACCTAACTGCTGTTTTACCTCTTCTAAATTACAGTCATGGATTTCACAGAAAGATGTTCGTTGCGCTGAATGTTTCCTTTCTCAATACCTGACTCTGATGCTTCTCCTCGTTTTCTCCTTTCTTGTACTTGTTGTAAAGCTGACCTTCAAACTTTGTCCTCTCCAAATCTTTTCTACCTCCTTTTCTCAATCAGCAGTTTTATTTTAGCTGGTCTGTTCCAGCTCAGGATGGCTAGAAAGAGAACTGTAGGGGGATTAAGAGATGAAAAGCAGGCACAACCGTGGGCCGCAGGTAAATTTTTCAATCTCCTGGATTTACTGTTGGTCGAGCTGCTGCAATTTCAGCCAGAGCTCTTCTCCAGAGAGCTGGGCCAGATCCAATGAAGGATTTGTAACCCTTTTTGGTACACTACCTTACCTAGGGCACCCAAAACCCCACATCACCTTCCTGGCAAGACTCCTTCCGCAGTCCCTGGGGAAAGCAGGGATCTTAGACAACCCAAAAGAACTTCATGTGGAGTGAAGTTCTTCGAGCTGGGCCAGATCCAATGAAGGATTTGTAACCCTTTTTGATACACTACCTTACCTAGGGCACCCAAAACCCCAAAACTTCATGTGGAGTGAAGTTCTTGTATTCTGCCAATAGCAGAAGAGCGTGTCTACATCTCTGCTCTGTGTCAAGGTGAAGTGCTGAATCAGGAATGCAAGATAAATTCCTTCTTGCATAATTGTGTCTCGTGGCTGGTGTTCAGAACTGTTCCTCAAAAAATGCAGGGGCTGAAGAACAGGCAGGATATGGTACAGCACTTGCTTCTTGTCTAGCAAAAGTGTTCTGCTTCAGGTCTAGACTGCTTTCAGTGGTTTATGTCTGCAGTATTTCCTGTGGCACCAAGTCATTGGTGAGTCTGACACAGGGCTTTCTCCTTATCCCCTTCTGGAGATGGCTTGTTATATAGCCAACAATTACATTTTGAGAGGGCCAGGAAAAGTAGGAGACAGAGCCTGACTTGTAAGGTAGTGGCTTTGGTGTTTAGCTGGGGTCTGGGCAGCCTGCTCTCATGAGTTTTGCTGACACTTATTTCCTCCTCCTCCTCCTTATTACATAGTGGTGGTAGAATGGAACTGTGGTAATTGGTTTCATACAAAATCCAGGATCAGAAGACAGACTGAAAAATAGAATTAGAGATAAGCCACGTCCTGAGCAAGCCCTGCAACCCTGAGTCTGTTGTAGGTGAAGCTAGGATCTATTGGTTTTTTTAGAAGTGTGGGATCTCTGAGATAATCTACGCTTTTTTTCATCTGGGTTCTGAATTCCTCCTGGATTTAGCACCCCACATCCAATAGATTTGGGCACTGTCCAAGGAGGCTGAAGTAAAAAGGGAGGCATTTTTAAAGTTAAGCAGTAGTTGAGTGGGGAACTTTTTGGATTGCCTTTTGGACTTTGGTGTTCACCTCTGCACCTAAAACATGACTAAAGTCTTCTTTGGATCTGGCCCATCGATCTGTAATTCTTTTGATGTTTTTCAAATTTCATGGCATTTTGAATGTTTGTGTTACTTCCAGTGATTTATTTAGTGTTACCTTCCCAGACACAACATGTGCTGCTGATGAACACTAATAGCCTTGAAAATTTCACTTTAGATGACATCAGAATCAGTTCTGTTATCTTAGGAGAGATTTCATCTTTAAGAATAAGAATTCTTAGTGCCTCAATATGTGAGTCTGTCTCGAATTCTTCTAATTACATCATCAGATGGTGTTGTAGGGACTTCTCTATATGAAATCCTTCACACGTCCCTTCCTTATAAGTAATTAAAATTAATTCACATAAACTGGTTGAGAAAATAATGACTAATTAGTTCACCAGATCTACTCAAGAATCTTTGGGATAATTTTCCTTAACACAGTAGTAAAGGCTTAAATTGTATTCAAAGAGCAGTAGTTTTAGCAATGTTTTATTCATGTGAGCATTTCATTAGTGAAATTTACCTGAGAGTGGCTCTGGCTTAATTCTTACCAAGTCACAGAGCATAAGGAAGGGCTATTTTTCCTCTAACAGAAGTGTGTTTTATTGATGGAAATTAGGCTGTCTCCTCCAAATTTAAGTGTTTCTGACTTAAGAAAACATAGAGGTTATATTCAAGTAGATGCAGAGAGTGTAAGTGGGCACTGAGCAGGAGGGTATTAGTGTTTGTCAGGCTTCTTGTGACACTCCTCCTTTCTTTCTAACCATATGCATGACAAGTTTAAAAAACCTCAAACCAATTTTATCCACTGGAAGGGTGACTGGCAGCTCTGGGTGATGCATATTGCCCATCCAAATTTGGTTTCTTGGATTCTAGGTTATAAAAAAAGAAAGATCTCGTTAGAAAAAATCAGTCAAAAGTCACATTGTTTCAATTTTGGTTCAAGTGTAGAAAATGAAGAGTATGTTAGGACATACAGAATTTTGTCTTACTTCAGTCTATATACTTAATGCTTGCTAGTTAACTTTCTAGTTCTGGCACAGCAGTAATCTATGTGGTAAAACTGACACATCTGTAAAGTATAACTCTTTTCCTGATGTGGTTCTGGACTATTTTAAGTCCCTACCAATGACATTCAGTAGCAACTGTAACTCATATTCCCTGGTCACCTCATGTCTCTGGTGATCCTATGGACTTGCCCCCAGATGATCATAGGACTGTGATCTTTTCTTCTCTCAGTATGTCTAAATCCAGCCCCCGTAAATGTGACTTTTAAAATTATACTCTGTCATCAACAGAGAATTAAAATGTTGGAAGTTTGGAATTAAAAAGAGATTATGCAAGTTCATTGACTGAAATGTTGACTTAGCTTCAAAAAAAACCCCAAGAAAACCCTGAGCATACATGCTTTCTGTGTTAAATAATTAACATAGACTGAAATGTTGACTTAGCTTCAAAAAAAAACAACAGGAAAACCCTGAGCATACGTGCTTTCTGTGTTAAATAATTAACATGCAAATATATATTTGTTATAGATTAAATTGGGGCTTTCACAAATTCTCAGTGTAATTTTTGAAAATTAGTGCTGTTCAGTCTCATGTTCTTTATAATTTCATTACATAGCCATTACCTCCTTTATTTCCCCAAATGGCCTTACACTTTTTTTTGGTAACTATGTTGTGGTAAGTCACTAATCCATTCAGCATTGTTGTACACTCAAACACCAGCAGTTTCCTCAGGACCATTCATGCACTTGCATGATTTTGTCTGTTAAAATTCGTGAAGGTTTGATTTACCAGTTGTGTTTGATTTACTAACAGTGACCATGCATGCAGGAATGCTGCACCACTATTCTCTGTGTATATTTCTGTAGTTGTTGTGGTAAGACTCTTGAAATACCTGTTTTCTTTTACAGACTCAGTTAAATTTGCTTCTTGAGAAGCTTCACAGTACTGTAAGTATATATATATGTATAAATATAGACACACAGACACACATGCATAATTTTCTGACATAAGTCATAATCGATTATCTCAACAATATGTTTTATAATTAATGTGGTAAATAATTGCTTTAATTAAGTGACACTTGAAATGTCTTGTTATGCAGGTGATAATTATTGTTACGTTTAACAAAAAGTTCTAGAAAGAAAGTTGCACATTTTGAGCAAAGAATATGAAATCTGTCTGAGCTCCAGTCTCCCTTTTTTGTCACTTTTACTTCCCTCCATTCGCTGGTGATCGTTGATGACTAGTTTGCAGAAGATGTAGAGATTTATTTAGAAATTAGGCAGATAATTTCTTATTAACTTCTGTTTTCAGATTCTGTAATGCTATTTAAAGTAAAATGTTTCATTTCACTTTTGTGATAGGCTGTAAATGGTCAAAGAACCTGATACCCCCAATGAGTCTTTGCTAATTTAGCTGGTGCAATTTGATAGTTTGTGGAATTCTCCATCTAGTTCAACATACCTGTTCTTTTTAGCAAGTAGGAGCACATTCTTATGTCTCTGGACCACACGGTCTAGGTCTGACCAATTCTAGACAAAAGGTTGTGCTCTGTCAAAACAAGAAAAATGGGGGAGAAGCATGTGGCATGGTTCCAGCATCAGGAGGCCATCAGACTGTTGGCTTGTGTGAGCTCTGGAGGACTGAAGCTTTTAGGTGATGTGACTGTAGAAGCTCATGAGAGTAGCAGAATCTGGACTGCTGAAGCGTGCTTAGGTGGCACTCATGTTAAGAAGAATGCTTGAGTGAAAACTCAAAAGCTGAGGATCCAATTAATAGCTTGAGCCCTGAGATCAGTTACGCTGTGGCTGAAACGGAAACCTGATATATGAGAGGAAAACAATGTCAGCATTTTTCTTTTTTTTTTAATCTTTTTTTTTTTTTGCCCCTATATATATGAGAGGAAAACAATGTCAGCATTTTCCTCTTTTTTTAATCTTTTTTTTTTTTTCCCCACCCATAATTCTTAAATCACTAACTATTATTTCAGGTTTAAAAATGTGTAGATTCTGCTAACTTCTTATTTTGTTAACAGGGGTCTAGCTTTATTCGCTGCATCAAACCCAATTTGAAGATGACAAATCACCATTTTGAAGGAGGCCAGATCCTCTCCCAGCTTCAGTGTTCAGGTAATGCATGCCTCTGGTGTTTCCCCCTCTGTTCATCACTTCAGGCATTATAGATTGACCTCACCCATAATTCTTAAATCACTAACTATTATTTCAGGTTTAAAAATGTGTAGATTCTGCTAACTTCTTATTTTGTTAACAGGGGTCTAGCTTTATTCGCTGCATCAAACCCAATTTGAAGATGACAAATCACCATTTTGAAGGAGGCCAGATCCTCTCCCAGCTTCAGTGTTCAGGTAATGCATGCCTCTGGTGTTTCCCCCTCTGTTCATCACTTCAGGCATTATAGATTGACCTCTGTTTGAAATATGTGAGGTGGAAGCAATATTTCCTTGCTTGAGCTGTTACTTTCTAGAAGGTAGCTTATTTATGCCTTACGAACAGTTATTTAGATTCTTAGTAACTTAGGTCTTATTTTAGACAACAGAACCCTAGAAATAATTAATCTGAACAGCCATAGGGTCTCTTTTTTGCAAAAAGTGTGTTTGAAATATGTGAGGTGGAAGCAATATTTCCTTGCTTTGAGCTGTTGCTTTCTAGAAGGTAGCTTATTTATGCCTTACAAATAGTTACTTAGATTCTTAGTAACTTAGGTCTTATTTTAGACAACAGAACCCTAGAAATAATTAATCTGAACAGCCATAGGGTCTCTTTTTTGCAAAAAGAGTTGATGTAATTTCCATTGACTATTTTTCCGTTGATTATAATGAGAGTTCAGACAGCAGCTGCGTGTCAGAAGCCAGGTAGCCATGTATTGGTGAGAGGAAAACAATGTCAGCATTTTCCTCTTTTTTTAATCTTTTTTTTTTTTTCCCCACCCATAATTCTTAAATCACTAACTATTATTTCAGGTTTAAAAATGTGTAGATTCTGCTAACTTCTTATTTTGTTAACAGGGGTCTAGCTTTATTCGCTGCATCAAACCCAATTTGAAGATGACAAATCACCATTTTGAAGGAGGCCAGATCCTCTCCCAGCTTCAGTGTTCAGGTAATGCATGCCTCTGGTGTTTCCCCCTCTGTTCATCACTTCAGGCATTATAGATTGACCTCTGTTTGAAATATGTGAGGTGGAAGCAATATTTCCTTGCTTGAGCTGTTACTTTCTAGAAGGTAGCTTATTTATGCCTTACGAACAGTTATTTAGATTCTTAGTAACTTAGGTCTTATTTTAGACAACAGAACCCTAGAAATAATTAATCTGAACAGCCATAGGGTCTCTTTTTTGCAAAAAGAGTTGATGTAATTTCCATTGACTATTTTTCCGTTGATTATAATGAGAGTTCAGACAGCAGCTGTGTTTCAGAAGCCAGGTAGCCAGGTATTGGTATATAAATTTAGATTTCCTGGCCTGGAGCTGACTCTCATCCCTCTGTGGTGCCCACAATGGTAATAGGGCAGCAGTTCAGTCCACAGCAATAGAATTCCTTTAAATTACTGTGGCAGTTGAAGTGTTAGATACTGCTGTGTACATGTAGAGGCAGTCAATATTACCTGAAATATCTAATAATTGAAACTCCTGGCTTTTCTTATTTTTAAAAATATTTTTATTAAAAATATTTTTATTTTTAAAATAATGTTTTAATTTTTTTATTTAAAAATAATTTTTAATTTTTTTTTACTTTAAAAATGAAAATGCCAAGTCTGCTAAGAAGAAAAAAGAATATTTAGAAGAAATATTAGAAAAAAATCCTCAGCATGGTTGAGTGTTACTCACCTCTCAAATAAGGAGAAAATTGTATGTGCTCCTCTCATCCCTTCGGTATGAACATTTTGTGAATGATCACATAATCAAGAAATATTAGAGGCTGGATCAAGTCCCAGATGAACTTTGTGGTTTAGCCAGAACGATGTCTTTGAGGCTTATGTCATGAACTACTGCTTATTATAAAAATCACTGCTCCCTTTTCATTTTACTGATACCAGCGTTTGTGCGTGTGTTCCTCTGACTGTAGGAATGGTGTCTGTTCTGGATTTGATGCAAGGTGGTTTCCCTTCACGAGCTTCATTTCATGAGCTCTATAACATGTACAAGAAATACTTGCCTGAGAAATTGGCTCGACTGGATCCTAGGCTTTTTTGCAAGGTAAGAAAGAAATTATTTCTTCTGTGTCATCCAGGACAGAAGATGTGTTGTGGGTAGGGGTTTTGTATTTTTTGAACTCTTTTTTTTGGTTTTTTTTTTTTGAAATGAGGCAGAATATAAACCTGACTGTTCTCTGTGTTTCAGGCACTATTTAAAGCCTTGGGACTGAATGAAAATGACTACAAATTTGGGTTAACCAAGGTGTTTTTTAGACCCGGCAAGGTAATGTTTCTCTTGGAGCTGATGAATGTGAATCTTAGAATAATTTTGGTTGGAGGCTCTGGTGGCATTGCTCAACACGTTGCTAAAAGTGTGACTAACTTAATTTAAGTTGCCCACAGATTTTTGTAAATACTCTTCATTCTCTGTGAAAAAATAGATATAATAATTGATATGATTAGTTTGATGGAAGGTAACACAATGTATTCCTAATGCAATGTTTGTAGTCCCAGACATTCTACTAGTCACTTAAGACTTTTCTTGACTGTTAAAAAGTTAATGTTTCAGAGCAAAGGGAAAATATTTTCAAGTAAAATCTGTTTATAACTGAAATACCTTTCTGTGATTCCAAGCATGGCTGCTACTGTGCAGAGGAAGAGGGTGAACAGGGAGCTGTTGTGACTGGAAAGGAAAATTACCATAGACCCAGAAGAATGTTCTTACAGTCACAATTTCTGAAAAGAAGTAGTGCAGGATTTTCAGAAATGGTTGCCTTTAGTTGAACTCTTATTTTAGAGTTAAAAAAGGCCAGAGTAAATGTTCAGGATGTAGAGAAACAATTAGTGTTTAAGAATTTTGTCAATAAATGTGTTTAGTAATTAGTAAGTAGTAAGGGCTTGGATTATTCAAAATGCTAAGTGTTGCACAGCAGTTAAAAAAAAAAACCACCAAACAAATCCCCCCAGTAGTCATTTCTGTTATCATTAAAGACTAAAGTGATGACAGACATACCTGCTCACTTGAACTAATTGAAGGCTGATATAGTGACATACAGATTATATTAAAAATATTTTACCTTTTTAACTCGCCACGTGCTTGAATAAGAATGTTTAACATTCTCTGTTCTCCTAATCTGTAAAACATTTTTTATTTCTTTCTTTAGTTTGCAGAGTTTGATCAGATAATGAAGTCTGATCCGGATAACTTAGCAGAGCTGGTGAAACGAGTGAATCGCTGGCTGATCTGCAGTCGTTGGAAAAAAGTTCAGTGGTGTTCGCTCTCGGTGATTAAATGTATGTATTTTCTGGTTTATTGATTCAAAATGTTTGTTACAAATATATCTCCATCACTGATGGGGTGCTGTTTGTTGCTGGTTATACTGAGGCAGACAGAATTTGTGAATTCTCATCGCGTAGTATTCAGACCTCAGAAATTGTAACACTGAAATCGTGGGTTTGACCTAGACATTTATGCTGGTTAGTGTATTTTTTCAGAAAGGTAGGACAAAAAGTCTGTCACTGTGTCCGAAAACTAGAAACTCAGGGAAATAATATGCTGGTTTGTTGTGCCTTACTTTTGTGTGTGTTTTATGTAAAACTAGAAGCAAATTTTATCCCCAGAATAAAGTTGAAATAGATACGCAAAGAGTAGATTGCATCTTTGGGATCCCCTAAGCCCATACAGTTTTGAGCCATCAAATGTGTGAGTATTGGACGAGTTGTGTTAAATTGTATAAACTGCTAAGACTCTATCTTCTGTGTGTTTACAGTGAAAAATAAGATAAAATATCGAGCCAGTGCCTGCATTAAAATCCAAAAGACTATTCGTATGTGGCTTTGCAAAAGAAAGCACCAACCACGGTAAGAGGATATTCCTTGGTTGAAGAAAATGGGTTTTTAATAATAGTTTCTTGTGAATGTTAAGAGATTTACTATGCTTAACTGAATATATCTGAAGTCATAGGATGATGCTAAGTACGACTGAAAGAGATTTTGAGAGGTGCTGTTCCTCCTCTTTGCCAAGGATGAATAGACTAAATCTGAACCTTTCCAAAGGGGTGTTTGTTTAGCTCTTTGTTCATAAAATCCCCCAGTGATAGCCTAGTTATCAGAAATCCTTAGTTAAGTATCTCTAAATGAAATTTAAGCTCATTAATTTTAGTCCTTCCTTTACGGGCCCCCTTTATATTTTATCCTAAAAATAGTTGTGTGTTCTGTCTGTCTTGTCTCCTCTTGAAATTAATAATTCCATTAGCTTTAATCTGACTACATGAAATACCGATGGAAAACCCGCTTGGGTTATTAAGCTCTGCTGACACCTTGTTGTTCTTTGGTAGAGATCTGACTCTGTTCTTTAATGATGGTGTTCTTATAAAATGTTTTTTTACATCCTTCAATAGTTATGTTTCATTTTTGGCACTTCTTACCACGTCCCTATATTTTTCAGCTGCCCTACACTCATCTTCAATGACTTGATTTAGTTTCTGCTTTTTGTGTGGTGTTTTCCTGAATCCCAGTTCAGCGATTTCTGTCTTGAAAGGCTGTCCCTGCAGAGCTGTAACTTGTATGTGTGGCCTTCAGTATTAGTTCTTTAAAAAGCTCCAAGTTTTCCTGGACTCTTACTGTTTAGACTTTTTTTCCCCCCTGTGGGGTCTGATGGCTGGGTAGTGAGGTTTTATCTGATTCAAGTGCTCTGAAAAAAACAAACACAACACCACACATTAATTCTCAAAATAAAAATGAATTTTTCCATTTTGAGTCACTGTCTGGTAATCAGTTTTAATTATTATTTGCAAAAGGCTCCACTGCTTAGTTACTTCATATGATAATGTTTGAATTTCAAACAAAAACAGGGTGAGTTTTATCAGCAGGTGTAACTCACTCCCTTGTCTACTTCTTTAATGTGAACAGTTAGTGGTAGTTTTTAAAATATCACCTTGTAAAAAATCTCCAGATACAAATAAAGTGTCTTACCTTTGCAGCATTGATGGGCTGATAAAAGTGCGTACCCTGAAGAACAGACTTGGTAAATTTAATGAAGTAGTGAGTGCTCTGAAGGAGGGGAAGGCAGAGACAAGCAAGCAGGTCAAGGAGCTGGAGTGTTCCATTGATGCTTTGATGACCAAAATTAAGGTAAGATAACAATTAGAGAAATAGTTTCTTATTGCTGGAATCTTTTAAAAAACTTAGTCTAAAATAGAAGGCCTATGTGTTTTCCTTAATAGAAAAGACATTTTCATATAGAGGTCTTAATTCTCAGAGGCAGTGGGTAAATCCTGATTAAAGTTATTTGTGACTGTGACTGAAGTGACTCCTGAACTTGTGTATATACTTCTAGGCTTTGGTATTATTATCCGTGTGTTAAAATGGGCATGGGAGAATTTAAAGCAAAAATGCATGTTGATATTGTGAGACAAGTGTTGTTAATAATCTGCTGGTTGCCTTTATTATTGGAATAATGCATGTTAGCAGTATTTTAAATTAATCAGGGCTGAAATGCTCAAGGGTTTATGGAATGAAGAGATTTATATTCCAGCTATTAGTAGCCATCAGTGTGAACTGTAAAATGAAATTAAATTGTAGCTATCAATGAGGTTTGAAGACACATGTAGCAAAGGCTGGTGTTTTAAGTATTTTCAACCTGTCACTGGCTACTAATACCTTTTTTAAAAAAGTCCCAGTACGGTCCAGTACTTTTTCTGAGTGCCAGCACATGGAATAAGAGAAACTCCTCTGTGCTTTGACACAGAGAGTCCTTAGTTTTCATCTTAGCTTGATGAGAATTAACTTCTGCTGCTTAAAACTACAAGGTCTACAAAATGAAGGCATAATTTAAAGAGAACTCATGTTTGACTTCAGTGATAAAATTGAGATTATTTTGTGTGGTTTTAGATGAGAGAGGGGAGTCATGGATCTCCAGGGTTTTAGGAAGGAAGGGAAGGATGTGCTCAAGCTCCCCCACTCTGAAGTGTGTATCTATAATTATATATAATTATACTGCTCAGTGCTCTCATTTCACTTAGCATTTTTTCAATGTACATTTTTTTAAAAGTGAAGTAAAAATGTGAAAGAAACTAATCCCCTGTTATTTAATTTTGCAGACCACTATAATGACTAGGCAACAGATACAGAAAGAATATGATGCTCTGGTTAGAAGCTCCGAGCAGCTTCTGAGCGCGCTGCAGAAGAAGAAGCAGCAAGAGGAGGAAGCAGAGAGGCTGCGGCGCATCCAGGAGGAAATGGAAAAAGAAAGAAAGAGGCGTGAAGAGGAAGAACAAAAACGAAGGAAGGAAGAGGAGGAAAGGCGTCTGTGAGTCTTGAAGAAGTTATTGGCTATAGAATGAGAAGGAAATAGGAAAGGCATTTTAATGAGATCGGTTTTAATACTCCTGTGCTTAAAGAGCACCACTTGGATTGTACTGCTGGTGTGCTGTGCGGGGTTAAAACGCTCCCTTTCCCAGTGATTTGTAAGATCAGTGTGGTCAGAACAGGGTTTGGAAGAAATGATACGATGCAGCCAAGAGCACAGATGGACTTGGAAGGTTTCTTGACTTAAATGTAGTGTTCTGTCACCAATACTGGCTTCTGCATTACCATTCGGTTTTATGGAAGATCCTTTCCTGTCTCTTGTTGACTTACATCGTAATAACGTGTTTTCATTTCCCTCCTCCTCTTTTGTAATAGGAAATCTGAGATTGAGGCAAAGAGAAAACAGGGAGAAGAAGAGAGAAAAAGGAGGGAAGAGGAAGAAAAGCGGATGCAGGTTAGTGCTTTAGCTGGATGGGTCTTTGTGGTTTTTTGGGTTTTGGGTTTTGGTTTATTTTTTTTTTTTGTTAGGTTTTATAAAATCTTTTTCACAGCTTAGGTTCTCCACTAAATCTAACGGCTTCATTTTATAAAGGCGTAGTGTGGTCAGAACAGGGTTTGGAAGAAATGATACGATGCAGCCAAAAGCACAGATGGACTTGGAAGGTTTCTTGACTTAAATGTAGTGTTCTGTCACCAATACTGGCTTCTGCATTACCATTCGGTTTTATGGAAGATCCTTTCCTGTCTCTTGTTGACTTACATCGTAATAACGTGTTTTCATTTCCCTCCTCCTCTTTTGTAATAGGAAATCTGAGATTGAGGCAAAGAGAAAACAGGGAGAAGAAGAGAGAAAAAGGAGGGAAGAGGAAGAAAAGCGGATGCAGGTTAGTGCTTTAGCTGGATGGGTCTTTGTGGTGGTGGATTTTTGTTGGTTTTTTTTTTTTTTTGTTAGGTTTTATAAAATCTTTTTCACAGCTTAGGTTCTCCACTGAATCTAACGGCTTCATTTTATAAAGGCGTTTAATTTGGAAAGCAAAATCTTTTTCACAGCTTAGGTTCTCCACTAAATCTAACGGCTTCATTTTATAAAGGCGTGTCTCAGAGTCATCCATAAATGTTACTTTAGTAGTAAATGTAAGTTAAAAATCACGATTAGGGCATCCTGAGAGAGCTCCCATGTTTCTAGTCCACATGGCATGTTCTAGAAATAGTTTTGCTCTGCAGAGGCAGTGTACCTGGATTGCTTCTGCATTGCACTAAGTCGGAATTTTACCATTTTGCTTAAATTCCAAGCCAGATCAGGTTCCACAGAGGATTCCAGTGTTTGTTTTGATCCCTTTTCAAAATGACCCATGGACACAAAGCAACCCCTATTGCGGAGTCCTGAAACACCACGTACAGAATCTCGAGGGAGTGTTGTGTCAGTGCTCTGGGGGAGTAACCATATTGCTCTGTGCCATCTGAGTTTTAATGATTCAAAAATCTTTTGAAGTGTAATTTTCATAATAGCTAACAAAAAGCTTCATGTGTTTTTTAAATAAGGAAGAATTGATTGGCAATTAATTTGGAAAGGTAATACTAGGATTTTTGTTGGTTTTTTTTTTTTTTTGTTAGGTTTTATAAAATCTTTTTCACAGCTTAGGTTCTCCACTGAATCTAACGGCTTCATTTTATAAAGGCGTTTAATTTGGAAAGCTAATACTAATGGTGGGTAATAATGATTTGATAAACTATATGAAAACCAAGATGCGATCTGTAGCCCTTTTGTTTTTCTTATATCAAACTAAATACTTGACGCTGTTACTTTCCCAGGTCTGTAAATTTGGCATGTTTTGAAAACTAGAAATATACGACTTGGCATATTTTTATAATCATTTGCTTCTGTGGCATTTTGGGTTCGATTGGCTAAGGTAAAAGGTGTGGTTTTTCACAAAACAGGCTGAAATTGAGGCTCAGCTGGCAAGAGAGCGAGAAGAGGAGACCCAGCACCAGGCAGTGCTGGAACAGGAACGTCGGGACCATGAACTTGCAATGAGGATTGCCCAGAGCGAGGCAGAACTCATCAGTGATGAGGCTCAGCTGGATTTGGGATTGCGCAGGTATGGGCTTCAGTAGTGACATTTCTCTCTGGTTTTTGATTTGGTTTGGGGTGGTTTTTTTGGTCTTCTACCCTGATCCTTTGAGAAGATTGTTGATTTTACATAATTACATAATTTTGTAGTAATTAATGAACCCTTTAAGTCAGTGTATTGGAATATTTTTCAATGTGTAATTTTTAGAAATAGATTGCTTTTGCTTAAAAACTCTCCATTTTCCTTCTTGCTGCACCAGTAATCTAGTGGGTGCTTGTGAATCCGACTGCAGTTTTCTCTTTGAGTTCTGGCAAAGATGGACAACCAGCTGAAACTATCACTTTTATGACTCATTTAAAGTAGTGAATGGAATTTCTTCAGTGGCAAGTAGTAATAAAATACACCCTTTCTGCTATGATGGTTCCAGTAGAATAGTGTGAATTTGTATGTGGTTTTTTTAAACAAGAAAATCACAGTTATTTCTGTGTCCTGACTCGTAAGTTTTTTAAAGTGGAATGAATATATTTAACATAGATGTGTTTGAAAATTAGATGTTGTCTTAAACATATTGGTTTGATATTTGTTTGAACTTTTTGATGTGTCACAAGAAGTGCTTGGCTTTTGGGACACAGATCCCTGCTGCCTGCAAACCAAGAGCTCTTCATATGGGAAGGGTGATGACTTAGAAGCAACTTAGAAGTTCCTGTAAAAATAGTACTTAATGGTCAAATTGCATAAAGGGCCCTACAAACATGATCATTGGTGACTTCATGGTGCTGGTCTACTCAGGATGATGTTATTGAAAGAAGGAGTGTAAGAAAATCCCAAGTGTTTTCATGGACTTTCAAGCTCCCAGATGTGTTCTCTTTGCTACTCTAATTTTATCTAGATAGATACATATACATTATTTTTTTTAATAATTGCATACCTACATGAGATATGAAAGAAGGGAGACATTAGACAAGAAGGGCTCAGAGAATTCAATCACTTCTCTGTCAGCGAAGCTCTAATCTCCTTTCTCCAACAAGGTAATCTATAAATGTAGGAGAAAAGTAATAGAGATATTTCTACTTATGAGAGATTTCTTTTTAGCTCATTAGCAAATTTTTTTCTTTCTGTTTCTGCAATCTACTTGAAAGAGTTTTAAGCATGTCCAAAAATTGAAGAGAATTCTTTTAATTTCACCTTTGATTTGATTTTGTTTTGGTTTGTTTAAAAACAAGCTAAAACCTCCCCCACCCCCCAGTATCTTCTGCTGAAATCCAAGGGCAGATACCCACACAACTGCAGGAATCAGCTGAAAGATAGAAACTGGGAATTCTTCTCAGAAATGAAAATTATTTATTGGTAAATTTAATTAAAGAATTTAAACATAAGTTCTCAGGACTTATTTTAAGTGATATAAATTAAAACTTTACTAGAGTCTAAGAAAGTTATATTCTGCCATCTTCTGGATTTGAGATTTACATGTTACCTTATGATACACTGAAATCAATGTGACTTTTTTTGTATGTATAGTTCCCTTTTCTGTTAAATTTAGGTGTACTAAGGTAACACGTGTATCACTCCATACTGAATTCATACAATATAGTGGACCTACGGTGTTTTCACACAATTCTGTAAAAAATCCTTTCATGCTTACACGTTGGCATGAATAAAAGGGATTTTTCCCTTGTGCTGTACTGCCTGTGGAGTGAAAATATTAAGAACAAGGTGATTTTTATGTGCGACTTTGAAGAAACTCTTGTATTTCACTCTTTTTGGAGGAACACACGATACTTTCTTCTTGTTGTATTAGAGAATGACTAGCTTCTACTTTATTTCTTTTTCTTCTCAGTCCCTTGTTGCATTCACCATTAGTTTTCATAGATATTTAAAAGTTTGTAAGCATTAAGTAGTTTCTTTGAGAAATATATTCAGTGGCTCCTGCCAAAGAAGAAAAGTTGTTTGTTTTGGCAGTAAATCCAGCATTTTCATTTGTGCTTATTCTGTGTGGGATGTGCTGACCTCTCCTTGCTTCGTCCAATTTATTACTCATGCACAATTAGAAAGCATGTGTAATAAGGGATTTACTGCACCTAGGGGGAAATTAGCAGAACTGCTTGGTGCTTAAGTAAAAAATTAGTTAAATAATAGACATCTGTTTTCAACTGTGCAATATTTTTAATTTATATGGCTTATTGAAACACACAGTGTAGCACAGAGCACCGAAGGAAAGTGAAGGTGATGTGAGTGTGTCTGTTCTGTGCGTTACCTTGGAACAATCCAAATATATTCTAATTTGTAGTGTCTTTTCACAGCTCTCTGTCCTCTTCCCAGAGGAGCTGCGTGAGGATGGCTGTTCTTTCTTGCTTATCCAGGCATCTTCTTTGATTTCGATACATGGGGCGGGCAGTGAAAGGATGGAGGAAGTTTTCACTTGCACGTTTTTTTCCAGAGATGAAGAAAAAAGGTTTTCGTGATCCCGTTTCTCAGGAAAAAAAAATAATAAGAAATTCATATGATAGAAAATAAGATGTGAGAGAGCAGGAAACACTGTGACCTACCTTTTTTTCCCCTTCAGAATATTTGAAAAGAAGGAAGTTGTCTGTCTAACACAAGTATCTTCTATTTGCAGAGCCAATGGAACAAAGCCCCAAATGACTGCGTATGGCATTTTTTTCCATTTGAATGCTCTAATTGAAAAAAAAAAGTAACACTGATTAATTCAAAGGCAATTGATATTGTGCTCTTATTTACTAATACCCCATGATAATCAGTTAGCGTGCATCTGTAAACTTTAAATCAGTTTGTAATACCTTATATCCTCTGCTTTGCTTAAACCTAATACACAAATCAATCATCTAATATGCCTAATAATATCTATTTAAAGAAGATTATATAATTAGTGTAAATTTTTTCACATACCATCCTTTTCACTGCCGTGTGTGATTTATTGCTCTTCACAGAATCAGGACTATATATATATATTCTATAATGAAACTTATTTAAAATAAATAGCTAATTTTTTTGTGCACTTGAATTAGCTTTGGGTTGGTTGGCAAGAGACTGTCACGGTTATAAAGGCTGGGTTTATATTAAAATGTTTGGTTTATGCTTATTTATCAATTTTCTTATAGGGAACAAATGGCCACAGAAATGTCAGAAATATTGTCTAGGTAGGTGAGACAACATCGAATAAATCAATCACTTTATAAACAGAAATCATACATGAAATGGGCTAAATTATTATGGAATGAAATATAATGGAATCTTTTTTTTTTAAAGTGGTAAGCAGATAAGTAAATTATTTCTTTCAGGTAATTTTTACTTTATCAACGTCTTTTTTCAGCGATTATTTTTCTGCTACTTTAATTGATTATATATAAAAAAAATAAGAATAGTTCATATATGGTATTTAGTGTAATTTTGATAATGTTTCTCCAGCTTTTTTCTCTTTTCACCTTTCTTCTCTTTTCACATTTCTTATAACAATAATAGAGAACTAGACTCCACAGCTTTTGAAGGAGGATTTCTACATATTCAACAAAGTTAATGAATTATTTCATATTAATTAACTGTTAGTGCTTTTTTAATAAGAAATAGTCTAGCTATAATGTCCTTCAAATACAGTTTTGAAAATTACCATGTTAAAAGCTTATTAAAACCCCTCTTAAAGACATCAAAAGAGCAGGTGTGTTGTTAAACAAGCCCCTGTGCTGTACGTTTGGAGTCTGGAGATGATCTGTCTCACCCCAGTGATGCTTTGTGTGGTTGCAGAAAACATTGCTGTTAATTTTTTTTCTTGCAGTGGCATTTTAAGAACAGGAATAAGCGATGCTGTGTGTAATTAAGTCAGTGTGTGAGAGTAGATGGCTCAGTCGTATTGGGTATAGTGACAGTGACAATGGCCAGTTCTTCATGTGCAACAAAATGACAGAACTTTGGAGCAAAGTCAGAGGCTCTGTGTTTTGGTTGAATTCAAAATGCAATAGTTCCTGAATTCAAAATGCAATAGTTTCTGCCACTTGCTGGTTTAACTCAGCTTTTTTTCACTCTTCATATACTGGAAGCTTTTGACTCGAGACTTTTTAAGTCTGAAAGTACAGTTTATGATATCTAACTTTGTCAGACTGAGGGGTGAAGGCTGACAATTCAAGTGTGATGCTCTTCTTACTGCCAGCCTGATGCGCTGAAAGTCCTGTAGAAAAGCCAAGTGTGATCTGCAGAGCAGGGCTGGAATGGAAAGGCTGAGCCCTTCAATTGGATTAGTGTTCTTAGAGATTACTGCTTTAACCTGAGATCTCACAGCCTGGTTCTGCTGCTCTAAATTGTGCAGCAAACCCTGAGCGTGGTGGTGGGTAGTGTTGCTAAATAAGGAAAATCCTTAGGATTTGTCAAATTAGGTTCAAGGTTAGACACCAGGCAGCGGAAATTACATTCAGCAGCAATCCTTTAATGTCCTACAGGTATGCCAATGATAACAAAATATTAAAATATGTATTTTTACGGGGGACTGTCTGTGTAATCATTTGTTTTACACTTCTGAGTAGTGCTCAGGGTGAGAAGAAGTTCCCATCCCTTGGCTGGGTATTGATTAGAAGTCAAAGGGGGCAGACTTCTCACAGAGCATCCCTGGGAGCTGTGTGTTGACTCAGATTTGCAGTATGAGTAGGCGTCATTAAGCTGGTGCTGCAATCAACAGAACAATTCCAGAGTTTTAATTACATTTGAAGAGACGGTTCAGCTGCTATGAAGAAGAATATTTAGTTAAACAGGTTGTTGTATCCTGTGAAACTTAAAAATAAATTGCATTTCTAATCTCCGCTTTCAGAACTGCTATATCTGCGTAGAGGAATTTTTCACAGGAAATGTATTTATAACCTATTAACTAAATAGGGCAAATAAACAACATCAAGCTTCATAGTCCCACATGAGTTCTTTATGGGAAAATAAAGTTTAAAATAATATTCAGTGGATTATAAATGCTGCAATAATGTAACAGTCCCACAGATTATTGCTGCACAAACAGACCTTAACTGAAAAGGCCTGGTTTCTTCTGTTTTTCTCTCTTGTGAATTTTTAATGTGCTGTACTTCATCAAGTATGTCCCTGTGCTGGTAAAGATATAGTTTCTTCTAAACAAATCCTCTCTGATCCTGAAAGAGAATTATCCTGAAAGATAATTGATAAGTTTGCCTCTTGTGTTTGGTGATGGGCATTAGCAGTGGTTGGTAAAATCATGCGTCTGTTCTTTGATTCCTTAGTGCTTAAAAAGTATTCTGATGGTCACCGAAAGTTGGAGTGTTTTGAACTTAGTTTATATCCAAATAATCCATGGGAAGTTTGCCGGTCCTAAGGGGGAGTTCTTCCACTTCTTACCCATATCATTTCTAAGAAAAAAAAATTCAGGTTCATCTTTGTATGTATGCACGTGATGATTGTTTGTTAAATGGATAACCTTATACATACCGCTAAAGATGATGGAGAATTTAGTAATAATTTCTTATTTGCATTTGCTGTTGACTTTTTTGCATAGTACCTACATGACAAATACCCTTTGCCTTTGAAAAGCACAGTTTCTAGATAAGTCTTTCTGTACTGGTCAGCCTTTCCTCAGAGAGTGGGCTTTTTTTCACAGGTAGCTCTTCATGACTTCTGCTCCCTCCCTTCTCCCCCCCAAATAAATATTGCTGTTCTCAGACGGCTACTATACAATTAATATAGAAGTCATTTGATTTCTTCTCTCAGACTAGTCTTCTGTCAAAGACATGGAATATTATCTCTACTTTTCGAACCAGGATTTTGTCCTAATCCAGTTTTGAACAGCAGAGGAAACACCTTTTCTCCCTTCTCCTTTATTTCTGAAATATTTTCCCCCATCTGTTCTTGGAATGGCACTGAAGCTGTGTATGGCCACTCTTTGCTGTCTGTTCTCTGCATCTTGACTAGTACCAAGAAAAACCTACATCAGCGTGGGGTGAGGTGCACATGAATGGAATATGCACCTTTTCACACATCAGTGTTAACTATTAATGACAATTCCTTTTAGTCTCCAGGCAGCCAATCGGGTTATTATTTGATTTTGGACATAAAGGATGCCTTCACTTCTTCCTCAATCCTTTGAACATACTGAAACTAAAATGCTATTTTGCCTTTGAATTCAGCTCCGCTGCTGCTGATTTTCATTGTAATAAGTGGGCTGCAGCGTTGATAATGGGATCTGTTCCTCCTGCTGGAACAATTCCTGTCTCATACGTGAGAAAATACTTATATATATTTTTTAATAATTGTAGGAGTCCTTCAGTTCAAGCCACGAAAGCTGCTGCTGGTACTAAGAAGCACGATCTCAGTAAGTGGAAATACGCAGAGCTTCGTGACACAATCAATACATCCTGTGGTAAGTTGGGGTTTTTTCTTATTTGAGAAGCCAAATTGCACTTGTATGAAGGGCTTTATTTCCTTCCTATGACAAAGAATAAAGCTTTCTCATGAATTTATTCAGGTTTGAATGAATGTCAATTTTAAAAATTTCTATTACCCAAAGAGAAGAGCGAATGGAGCTATTTCCATACTGAGGAAAGAGAGTTTGCTTTGTTAACTCCTTTACTGATTCTATATTTATGATGATAAAACTGCTTGGGCCATAAAATACATGTTGTGATTTCATAATTAAATCATCTCAGTTTTGTGTATTTCTACAAAGGGAACGATAGTTGCTGTGCTTTACCTAGAATTTGTGTCCTCTAACAGATTTTTTGCTATTGCTTCTTGCTGTCACCAAATCACAAAAATCAACTACGTAATGTAAAACATGGCATAAAATATTTTATGTCTTAGCTATTCAGATGATTCTTTAATTTTCAAAATGTGTAACTTCATTTGGGAATCTCACAGTTGGGACATTAATTAATTTCCCCCCAGCGTTATGAAGATAGAAACAGATAAGAAGTATTCCTTTATTAAATATTACTGTTTGTTTTTCTTCTGATTGAAAGCAGTTGGTTAATTTCCGATTTAAGATAACTCAGAATTTCTCCCTGGAGATAGAAACTGGAAACAAATCCATTCTGTCTGTTTGTATTTAAAACCTAAAGTTAGCTCCCAATTTGAAAGGATATATAGCACTCCAAGGATCTTTCTGGACCATAGAATGCAGGCCCTGTTGCTGCAGAGAATGAGGGTTTATTATATTATAACACATACTTAGTGTTACAAACTGATCTAAAATTATTTACCTATCAATGTAGAAAAGCATTTCATAAATATTTTTTCCCATTTTTTTCTCACTCATCTCTGCTTTCCTTATTCTTGAGACAGATATTGAGCTGTTGGCAGCTTGCAGAGAAGAGTTTCACAGAAGGTTAAAGGTTTATCATGCTTGGAAATCCAGGAATAAGAAGCGTAACGCGGAAGCAGAACAGCGTGCTCCCAAATCAGTCACAGACTATGGTGAGGAGGGAACATTTTGTCTTTATCATAACACAAATAATAATTCTGGTGACAAAGAAAACATTTCTAGAATTAATTTTGGTTTTGCTGGGTTGAGGGAAGTTCTTGAGGTTTTTAGTGTATCTATCTTTATGTTGATTTCAAGTAAATATTTTGAAAAAGTTGTAAGTGGCAAATAGTTTGCAGGAGGTAGAATACTTCCAGGAGACCCAGGTACATGACTGAACAGCTCTTCCTAAAACCTTTTCTTGTACACGTTTTAAAAATGGGTCTGGATTTGGTGCTGCAGTTGCTGGCATTTTTGTTAAACTTTCATTGCTGGGCTACTTAAGACTAAGGAAGATCTTTTTCCATTTATGAAACTGTGTTTTTTGAGACTTTGAGGAATAATGCTCTCTTAAGTAATTCACTGTTACATTTGGGGTCCAGACAAAACAAAAAGTGGTTTTTTTCCTCATGCTTTTATTCTTTCATAAAACACACACATATATAGACATAGATGTAGATACTTTTTAAAGATGCTAATAATTTCCTTCTTCACATGACTGTCAGCCTTACGTATTTCAGGTTACATTCTCTTTTCTTAAAATTCTGTGAGTGTTGATACTGCAGTTTTTGATTGTGGGGTGGCAAATTTTGCATAGCCTCTGCTTCCTTATTAGACTGGCATTCTGCTGATTTCACAGATGGATGTTTCTTGTCAAAGCAATGCACTAATGAGAGTATGTGACTGCTTTTAAAATTCAACATGAAGGTGTAGGGGTTACCCTGTTTAGCACTGGCCAGACCTGAAAATGAGGTATCTGGAGTGATATTTGCAGAGTGAATTTTGTTACTCTTTCACCACCACCCCAGCCCCCAAGTCCAGTGATTGTTACAAAAGGTGTCTAAGAAATGAGCAGAATCACAGCAAATGGATGTAATAATTTAGTCATATTTCTCCTGCTGCTTGGAAAAGATGTTCTCAAAGAGTGGGGCTTTGTGGCCATGCCTAGAAGGGTGGGTTTAAGAAAGTTTATGACCCAAACAGCGGGAAAAGGCATTTGAAGCACTTTTGCAAAGTGCTGAGTTGCTTTAAATTTGAGCTCACAAATTCTGGAGGTAAATGAGTAAAATAAATATTCATGCACAGTATTGCAATGGGAAGTATCAAAGAGCAGAAAGTACTTGGATTTGTGCAAATAAAGCCTGGAATATTCATGATCTAATCACATGTAGTTAGATATTCACATTATTCTTTTCAATGTTTTTCATTGCAATTTTTTCTACTTATCTTGAAATATGGCTTCATATTTCTGAGGACAAGTTAGAAAGTTGCAGTTCAGAAGAACTGACCTTTAGAGACTCATTAATGTCAGATGTAATTCTTTCTGTTGCAAATAATGATCCTACATGGGCATTTCACATCTGGCTGTTAGACACATGAGGTGGTGTTAAGGAGGAGATCTGATTTTTCAGATGTTTAAGCTTTCTTCTTTCTGTCTCATCACTGATGTCATATAACTTTACAGGTATCCTTTAATTAAATTTATACATTCAGTAGAGAAGCAAGACACTGGTTTGGCTATTACTATTGGAATAGGCACATTTGGTATTAATAGAGGTCTGGATTTTCTTTCCTAGTAGAAATGTCAAAAATGAAAAGCAGCACATGAATTAACGAGCAGATTTGTTCCAGCAATCTGTGCTTAGCGTGTGTACCACTGAGCTTTGGTAACAGCCCTTGAAAATCATGTTAGTAATCAGTTCCAAAATGAAATCCTGGTGAAAATAGAAGCAGTTGGAAATCTATGAAACTTGAGGAAAGGAGACGTTTGTGTATGTCAGTGAGCAGGAACAGAAATATTCATCTCGACGTCTGTGTTTATTTTGTAACTAGATTTTCCATTTGTCTGTCATCAGCATTGGTGAGAAATGTTCAGGTGATGAAACTATGACTTATAAAGGATCAGCACTTACATGCTTTGTTCAACATGTAATATTTGTTCACAGATTTTGCACCATTTTTGAGCAACTCACGTAAGTGGGGAGATGGTTCTTTAAGCTAACTTTGAAGAATAGGAACACCTGAGAGCCCTGTACTAACAGCAGTTACTCCAGTGTTTTGCTACACGTGCACATAGAATTTAATTGTTCCAGAAAATGGATGTTACAATTTGGCAGTGGTAATTATATGTTACTCTAGTAATTTACGAATGTACTTTACTGCTCATCTTTGTGAGATCTTACCCATTTGAGCAGTCATGGGAAGGGAAAACAAAATAAATCTCCCACTTTTTTTCTCTTTTCTCCCCCTACCTGACCAACTACACGTGCACATAGAATTTATCCAGAAAATGGATGTTACAATTTGGCAGTGGTAATTATATGTTACTCTAGTAATTTACGAATATACTTTACTGCTCATCTTTGTGAGATCTTACCCGTTTGAGCAGTCATGGGAAGGGAGAACAACATAGCTTTACTGCTCATCTTTGTGAGATCTTACCCATTTGAGCAGTCATGGGAAGGGAAAACAAAATAAATCTCCCACTTTTTTTCTCTTTTCTCCCCCTACCTGACCGTAGAAATGCCGTGCTTGTTCTAATATTTATTATTGTCTGCACGTGGCTTTTTGTTGTAGCAAAACTCTGGAATCAACTTAATTTAACAGCTCTTTTCCTAGCACACAAACTAACATTCAGGTGGTGGTTTCTTTTTGAATAAAGAACTACGATTCCATAGCCCTGACAGTAGAGGCTTCATGTGCTGCTTCAGCGTCCCTGTCCTCTAGATTCCCTCTTGGATTTAGGGGTAGAAACAAGCCTTAGCAATTACCCTTGCAGTGCAAGGAGTGTTTGATGGTACTAAAGAACTGATGTGCTGTGATAGATTGTCAGACTCTTTGCAGAAAATAGAATTAATTTCCTATAAACTGTAAGCTCTCTCCCTCTAAAATACATGCTTTACCAGAGTTGATGTGGGAAAGTAGCGTTCAGGAATTAAAATCTGTTCTGGTTTTCTTCTCTTTCATTATGTAGACATGGAAAAAAATGGGGGGGTATGATTTGTATAGTACATACATTTTTTTTTCAAGATTCTTCTCACATTTAGAAAAACTATTTTTGCTTGAATCTAAGTGGAAAAAATGTTAAGGTACGCTTGCCAGTCTATTAGTCTTGTTCATAACTGTAAAAGTAAATTACTAAGAAGTGATTGTGATTTTTTTATTTTATTAAATGTTAGCTCCAAAATTGGCTTTGCTGCTTAATAGTCAATGGAAAAAAAAAAATCACTTTCAATTATTCCCTTTATGCTGCAACATGGAACTGTAATGACTGATTTTCTTTTGCAGAGGTGGCATAGATTCACAATCAGAATTTCTTACTCAGGGCGTTTGTAACAGCGGTTTGTAAAGCAGTAAAACAAGATCAGTAATAAACTTTTGCAGGAGGCAGTTATTAAAGGAAAGGATCTTGCTTGTAAGAGCATTTACTATTTAAAACTGATTATAATAGTGTCTGCGTAACATTAAGAAGGTCGATCAGTTGGTGAGTGAACGTAGAGAGTATTTGCTTTTACTGGAAAGAAAGTTTCTCTGTGGGACTCTGAGGGAGCCTCAAAACGTGGGTGGGAAGTGTTTCCCAGAAATATATATGAAGCTTTAAAATATTTTCTATCATTCTAGCTCCTCTAGAAGTTTGATCTGTTGAAATTAATGGGCTGAAATAAGCAATTTCGTTAAAAAAGCAAGCAGCCAGGGAGCAGTTGTCATGCTGGAGTTCAGCACACAGAACTGGAGGCAGAAAGTTCAGTTTGAAGCTTTGTAACACGCAGTAGATGTTGTCAATGTTCCTATTAACAAACGAGTCATTTCTAACAGCATCACACCCCCTTCCACGGTGACTGACAAAAGTCTTCGGGTTTTTGTAACTGAAAGTGCCTGTTTGTGCTGGGGCCTTGTTGGATGAAGAGGTGGACCCAGGGAGGGCAGTCACTGATTAAAGTTCCTGGCTGGAAAGACATTTTACATGGGAAGTTTTACTTTAAATATTGATTTAAAGCAGAATGTGTTATTTTACTCAGTTTAGTCTAAAAACACCTGATGCTGTTGAGCAACCCAGCATTACAGAGAGAGAAGATAGTTACCATGAGCCTTTCCTCACCAGGGTTTTAGCTGGAGGGATTAAAATACATGAGATGGGAATCCTTTTTAGGTTTGATGAGACTTCAGATGACTTTGCATTCAGAGAATCTCAGGTTTTCTGGGGTTTGGATTGTTTGGTGGTTTTTTATTTCATTTTTTTGTTTTCTTTTTTTTACTTTGCTGATTAATCAAGCGAGTCACAATGCTTTGTCTTCTAGCTAGTGAAGGGCCTAGAAGACAAATCATATGAAGAGCAGCTGAAGGAGCTGGGGCTGTTTAGTTTGAGGAAGAGGAGGCTGAGGGGAGACCTCATCACTCTCTACAACTACTTGAAAGGACACTGTAGAGAGGTTGGTGCTGGTCTCTTCTCACAGGTAATTAACAACAGAACGAGAGGGAATGGCTTCAAGCTCCAACAGGGGAGGTTTAGATTGAACATTAGGAAGGAATTTTTCACTGAAAGAGTGGTCGGGCATTGGAACAGGCTGCCCAGGGAGGGGGTGGAGTCACCAACAGAACCCGACAGCCCAGCTCCCGGCCAGGCACCAGGAGATAGAAATGAACAGGCAGCAGCGTTACTTCCGCATCCCCTTCATCCGCCCCGCCGACCAGTACAAGGACCCCCAGAACAAGAAGAAGGGCTGGTGGTACGCCCACTTTGATGGGCCCTGGATCGCTCGGCAGATGGAACTTCACCCTGACAAGGCACCCATTCTTCTGGTAGCAGGTCGGTATGGAAAGCCCAAAATCCAAATGTTGGAAAGGTTCAGGGTTGATAACTCACTTTAGAAACAGAGGGTGGTGGTACAAGTTTCCCAAGTTATATCCTCTTCTTCTCTCTTTTCATCATTCATTTATTTTTTTTTCTTCCATCTGCCTTGTCTGGGCAGAATTTGAGGATTTGGGGCGCTGTTCATGGTGGCCAAATGTTAAGGAATCTCATTTGGAGATGTCACGTGTTTTACCTGCACATGGCTTTAATCTGGGAAATCACAGACAGAGTGGGAACCCAAATCTAAATGGTTTTATTGCAAAGTGTCCTCAATTACTCACTGAACTGGAGGCAGCGTGAAGATAAAACATCACCATTCCTCCAGGAAAGTTCTGCTCATCGTGGTATTGGTTTGCAGTTAGCTTTGGAAAATGACAGCAGTTTGTATCAAAACAGTTTACACATATGATATATTGCCTTTCCTCGGGGTGGTGCTAAGGCAAACGGATGCTTTTACCATATTTATGCTGCCCAGTATGGGAGAATAGCTTTTTAATCTTAACCATTTAAAATAAAAACTAAATGTGGCAGTAGATAGGTAGGGATTTGCCTGGTAGTGAAAAGTATCCTTCTTTTCTAGAGGATGCTAAAAGGGGGAGAAAATGCTTTAGAATTGCTGGTTACAGCTCTGTGGTTTGAGTTTTTGCATTTCACTTGGGATCAGAGGAAAAGGCCGTGACCAATTCGCTCAGTTTCAGAGTGATGCTTTACTGGCGACAAAAGTTCCTCGGTTTTCTGCTAATTTACTATTTTAAATAGAATCCCTTGTACCAGCTGTTGCCTGGTCAGTGTCAAAGCCCACAGCTCAAAGTAGCGTTGCTGTCACTAATACCACATTAAAAATAAGATTGAAATGGGATCACCTGTTCAGAATAAGATTGAAACGCAGCGAGTGAGCTCACCCACTTGGTGGAAGTGGTTTTGTTCAGCCTGGGAGGCTGCAGGGTGACAATCCTGACTATTGGATCCAAAGTCTTGACTTCTTAGTCACTTTGCTGCATTTAAACCAATAAGAACAGCAGTTCACTGAGAAACTGTAAAACTGAAAAGTATGTGTTAAACAATCACAGATTGTGTCTTGTTATATTACATTCTATAATATGATTTGCTGATATAGTTTGATAGGTTGAATCCAAGAACATGGTGACTCATGTAGGAAATTGGAAGCCTCTGTCTCCAGCATAGTGTTTCCGGAAGCTAGAGTGAATCAAATTGATTGTATTTATTTAGTTATTTTTGCTATTTAGTAAATAAGTATTTATTTAGTTATTTTAAAAGTCTGTAAGGGAAACCTCCCCAGATTTGAGAGTTGCCGTTGTCATCCCGTAGTGGATGTCAGGAGAAGACACGAAGATGCTGATCTTCTCAGCTGCTTCCCTTTGCTCCTATTTTCTTGCCTTTTCAGCACTGTTAGTTGCAGCATCTCATCCCAGTTTGTCCTGATGCTGCTTTTCTGCTCCATGTGGACAAAACCCCAACCAAACCAAAAATATTCAGTGTCCTAGGACTGGTTTCCCCAGGAGCTCTGAAGTCTGTTACCAAACAGAGGAGGCTCCGGGGAGACCTAATAGCAGCCTTCCAGTACCTGAAGGGAGCCTACAGGAAGGCTGGGGAGAGCCTGTTTAGAAAGGCCTGTAGTGACAGGACGAGGGGAAATGGCTTCAAGCTGGAGGGGAACAGATTTAGATTGGAGATGAGGAGAGGGTTCTTCACTGTGAGGGTGGTGGAGCACTGGAACAGGTTGCCCAGGGAGGTGGTTGAGGCCCCTTCCCTGGAGATATTCAAGGAGAGGCTCGACGAGGCCCTGGGCAACCTGGTCTAGTTGGGGGTGTCCCTGCTGACTGCGGGGAGGTGGGACTAGATGACCTTTGGAGGTCCCTTCCGGCCTGGGCAATTCTATGATTCAATTAAACCAGAGCCTGGGTGAGGAAACGTAATTAACAGAGACCTGACCTTTGAACGGTGTCAAAGCTTCACGAAGCTCTTTCCTTCTCCCTTTCTGGTTTCAGGTAAGGACGACATGGATATGTGTGAGCTCAACCTGGAAGAGACTGGCTTGACTCGCAAGCGAGGGGCTGAGATCCTGCCCAGGCAGTTTGAGGAGATCTGGGAGCGCTGTGGTGGCATCCAGTACCTGCAGAACGCCATCGAGAGCAGGCAGGCCCGTCCCACCTACGCCACCGCCATGCTGCAGAACCTCCTCAAATAAACCCTCCTCCTCCTCCTCCTCCTCCTCCACGGGTTCCAGCCCAGGACACAAAGGGAAGAGCTCCTCTGCGCCACAGGGGACGTGGGGCATTCCACAATCACCTTAGAGATGTCCAATATAAAGTGAACAGATTTTATTAATCACCTGGTTTGTTAATTTCTACTTCACGACGTTTAATTTGTGTTTAGTGAACTCTACTAGCTATGAGGACCTCCAAACGATGTCAGGCAGTTGTAGTTTGTTGCATTTTTTTTTTTTTTTTTTTTTTTTTTTGTTTATGTTGCATTTTCTGTGGGGGTTCCTGCTCTAACTCCTAACCCTTCCAGCCCCCTTCCAGCCCTCGGCTGCGTCTCCTGGGGTCTGTGCTGCAGCCCCCGCTCTCTGCGTCCCCTCTCTCACCCACCCAGCTCCTGGCTTCAAGCTGGGAACTGGGAAAGAGGATTCGCTGTTTCCTGTAACTGGAATCGTGAGGCCTTAGCTTTGACTTCTGTTCCGGAGAAGTTGGAGTGTACTTTTATATAATCTGAGACATTTTCAATGTCCTGATGTGAAAACTGGCTAGTGGCTGTACTTACTGACTGCTCCAGAAGCTGACGGGAAGTCCTCCTGAGCTTGAGACCCATAAATCCCTATTTCATGCGTTCTCTGTCTTGGTTTCAGAGAACTGCTTTGCTGTACATTCATGTACATCAATAGTGTGTGACACCAGAGGTGCCCCAGGAATGTCCTGCTCGTCAGGGCTCCCACCGCTTCTCTCTGAGGTTCTTTTTTTTTCTCTTACAGTACCAATTTCCTTTAGACTTCTGTTTTTCTGACCAAATTTCCATTAGGAATTCTTGGGACAGCTTTATGCAGGCAGTGTAATTTCAACATATTTAGACTTCTGTTTTTCTGACCAAATTTCCATTAGGAATTCTTGGACAGCTTTATGCAGGTAGTGTAATTTCAACATATACAAAAGTGTCTGAGACCTACATCTGGAGGCATCCGAGGTTAAGGATGGATAAGGGAGACAGTTCTGCTTCCTGGTGGCAGTGGCTTCACTGAGCATCGGGCCTCCTGGTCAGCTCAGGTGTGAGGGGACACACAAGGTCTGTACCTTTTGTTAGAATGTGTAAAGACTTGTCCAATAACAGAACCACACCATCATAAGGCTCTGTGCTGATGAAATGCTGATGGTGACAAGAGGGAACGGGCACAAACTTGAACATGAGAAGTTCCACCTAAACATGAGGAGGAACTTCTTTGCTGTGAGGGTGGCAGAGCCCTGGCAGAGGCTGCCCAGAGAGGTGGTGGAGTCTCCTTCTCTGGAGACATTCAAACCCCCCTGGACACGTTCCTGTGGGACCTGCTCTGGCAGGGGGTTGGACTGGATGATCTCCAGAGGTCCCTTCCAACCCCATGCGATTCCATGAAATAGTGACAGTTCACTGAAAACTGGAATATCGCAGCGATTCGGACGCTGAGCTTTGTGTTAATGTCATCTGTCAAGCTTCAAAGCTTGGAACAGTTCCCTTCTTAACCTGTTTGTTCTGGGAGTTTTTGTGGGTGGGAATTACCACTTTCACACAGTCTTAGGATGAATCTTGTTCCCTCACGTGAACGTTGTTTCACCGCGCTGGCCATTATTTCCACAAATTTAATTTTACCCAAATTCTTTGCCTAAGCAGTAATTTTTGGCTGTGAGGTGGAAGTTTCAGGCTGCAGGGTACAAACCTGTATCCTGGTGTGTGAGTTAAAAAGTGAAATTATGAAGGTTAGGCCACTGGTTTAATGTGCTACTGAACTGGGACCAGTTTCAGAACCTCCAGTCTCCAGAAACTGGGCTCTGCAGGAAGCTGTGAGCGTTTGGGATGTGAGGAAGGAGAATCAGTGAAGTTATTGATAGGGCTGAGGTGCCCTCCTGGTGTGTGTCTGACTTCACACCTGCAGTCTCAGTTCAAAATATATATATAAAAAAATAAAATAAAAAATATATATACATAAACCCCCCCCAGATCTCATGAGACTGAACGTGGTAAGCAAAGACCTTCAATGCTTAAGAGAGAGCGTGTGTGCATACACATATATATGCTACAAGATTTTAGTGTATATGTGTGTAAACATACTCGTGGGGAACTTAAATAATGTGAATTATATTTTTCCAGTCTGCTCCTGTGGTCGTGCTGGGATTTCCCAGACTGGCCCCAGAAAGAAACTGTATTTTTCAGGATGGGGTGGCTGGGAATTCTCTCTGCGTGACCGCTGTGAGCCGTCAGGAAACCAGAATGGCCTTTGAGGTGGGGCAGGGGAGCTGGGTGCTCTGGGCTGGGGTGTGCCCACTCCCCCCTGCATCCAAAAATCCCAGGATCTGGATTTTTTTTATATTTTTTTCCCTCTCCTGCACTGAAAGCAGCATCTGCTTTAGTTTTACTCATCTTTTTTGTGCAACAAAATTAAGTTTCGGTTCATTTCAGATGTTTATGTTTTGGTTTTTTGTTTAATGTCAGGCCATATCCAGCTGGTTGCCCATGGCTTCTGGTGTCCCTTCTGGTGTCCCATCTACTGTGTCACTTCATTACACTCTGGGGTGATTTGGAGAGGAGATAAGCAAAGGGGGTGGGGGTTGATCTGCAGCATCACCTCATGCCCTTCTGGTCGGTGGGGACAGAGGAAAATGTCACTTGGTTTGTAAAGCAGAATGATGCAGTGAATGTGTTGGCTTGGTTCTGTCTGATTTAAAAAAAAATAATAATAATTTCCTGCCTCTCAGTGAAGTGGTCCCTTGTAGTTGAGATCTTCTGCCTGAAACACTCCAGAAAGGAGAGGAGGGGATGGGATGGCCGTGGGGGCTCATTCCTGACCCGGGATGAGGGACTGGCTGTAGAGAAGGCTCCTTCCACCATCACAGGGTCGTTAAACGCTCGGCTTTCACCCACTGATGAGATTGGTTTTTTTTCTTTACCTTATTGAATCCTTCGGGGTTTTCTCCAAAATCTTTATTTAAAGTATTTAAATGACCTCCTAATACTGTACTGAAAATTAAAAAAAAAAAATAATAAATACATTCCATGTTGAAATCTCAGTTGTTTCTCTCTTACCGTTTTTGTCTTGTGGAAGTGTAATAATTTAAATGATTTATAGCGTAATTAGCGAGGGCGAGTTGGTTTATGAGGGGGCTGAAAGGCTTTCTGTGCTGGAACCACCTCCTGCTTCTTCTCTCTTACCGTTTTTGTCTTGTGGAAGTCTAATAATTTAAATGATTTATAGAGTAATTAGCGAGGGTGAGTTGGTTTATGAGAGGGCTGAAAGGCTTTCTGTGCTGGTGGTTGAAGCTGCTCCAGCAGAGACTGTGTCTCCATTCTGAAGGTAAGTGTCCTCTGGGACAACGTTCTGATGTTGGGAAACTGATGGTCTCATCCCTCCTTTCTCGGGATTTGTTGATCTTTTTACTTTTATTGCTATTTTTTTGCCTTCCTTCTGTGGCTTCCAGCCTGTTGATGCTTTGCTGTCTTTGGCTTTGACTGTGATCAAACTTTCCTGTCCTAAGGGCTAAGTCAGAGTGGTTTTTTTTTTTTTTTGAATTTCAGAAGATTGAAGTAATTCAGACATTGATACCTACGAGATACAATTCTGTCTCAGTTCCTTACGGGTGTTGTCCCCAGCCCCAGCTTTACATCCTGTGTGAAATCCCGTGCTGTGTGTCAGGGTGGGGTTAAACATCTCCATTCCCTGGGGAGTTTGTCAAGTAAATAGTTTTATTGTATTTTATTGAAATACAAAAGGCTTACATCCAGCAAATATATTTGGTAATTAATAGTTGACAGTGATAAATACAGTCGTGAATAATCATTATTAAAATACACGTTTTAAAATTACTTTTTTTTTCTTTTTTTTTTTTTTTTATTTTTTTAATTTAATCTGACTAGCGATCACTGGTCTGAGTTGAGATGGACTAAACACATACAAAAATACAGCTGTGAGGGGAAGGCAGAGGGATGCTCTGGGCATTCCCCAGCCCTTCCTGACGCGGGGAAAAGCTGAGCCATGTGGGCTGTGTAAAACCCCATCTTAGCTTGCTTTTTTGGGGGGTTTTGCAGGGAAACGGGGTGTGGGGTTGGGAGAGGGTTCCTTGGAGCGTGGGGAGCGAGGGGATGGTCAGGCTTTGCTGCAGGAACTAAAACCAGTTCCCAGCTGAGCCGGGGGGGCTGGGAGCTTGGCAGGGGCTCCGTTTGGGCTGCAAAAGCACAATTTCTGGCCTGCACCGAGCAGCAAACAGCAAGTATCGTAGAGCACTGGTGTAGTGTGGAAACATATAGAGATATAGATTGAGACACTCATGGGTGACTGGGACTGTGGAGCAGAAATGACTAACCCCTGTGGAAAACTGAATGGCCACCCACCCTCTGCTCATGATGATGCTGCAAAAACTAATGGTAAACTCTCAGAATTCTCTCAAAATTGTGTGTGTGTGTTTGACGTGTCCGTGTCTGTGTGTGGCTGTGACCTCCTCGCTGCTGGGGGTGGGGAGCTGGGAACATAAATCTGGTCCAAAAAGGTGAATCCACAGATTTAGTGGCTCAGCGTGAGGTGTGGATGCTGGGGGGGGTTGGGGGTGTCACCCCCAGCAGAGGTGCAGCAGCGCAGGGGGGGTGTGCCTGTGTGTCCATCACGGCTTTCTTAACAGAAAAATAGGAATCTGGTGTTATAGAAACCATTAAAAAAGTTAAATCCCACCTTCTGTGTCAGTGGTGGCTCCTTGTCCTGGGTTTGCCCCCCCAGCAGCCGGCGTGAGGGAGCCTCAGCAAAGGGTGGAGAAACTCAGCATTGACATTTTTTACTGTATTGAAAAATGTTACTTCTCAGCAAAATCTGTGCCGAGCACTCAGCTCCTCAATAAAAGTAAGAGTTAAGATAATAGGTCAGCACTGGGTGCTTAATGCTGGTGGCTTCTTACCAGGCAAATCTTAGACGTGGTCCAGTAGTTGGTCAACTTGGTCACCTTGTTCTTCTTTAATAAAATGATATTTTTTTACGTGCATTGATTTTAGAGCTATGTTACATCTTGAATTATTTTCCTATGCATAATCCACCTGAAGTCCAGTCTGGAATAACGCAGGCCTTCTTCTTTTCTGAGTACCTGTAAGAGAAATCGGATATTTGAAAAGCATTTTTGAGTTGGAAAATAACGTTATTTGTCTACTGCTAATGGGCAGGATCTCACTGAAACCTGCTGAGAGAATCTCCAGTTCCTTGCGAGGAGAACCTTTTGGTTCCTATTTGGGCTGGGATTCAGGAAAATGAAATTGAAACCTGCTGAGAGAATCTCCAGTTCCTTGTGAGGAGAACCTCTTGGTTCCTATTTGTGCTGGGATTCAGGAAAATGAAATTAAGAGAGAGTCTGGCAATTTTAAAGAATTTTCTGACTCAGCTTTTCTCCTTTTTTTCCCCACTCAAAGACACAAGGTGTCCATGTCCATGTCTGAGACACGGCCGGTGTTCTGCTCAGGTGGGAGCTCCTGCTCACTCACACTCTCTGTAGCTTGAACAGACACGAGTTATTTTTAAACGCTGTGTTATTCCTATTAAAGCCTCCCCTTTGGTTGGCATTTTGTGCTGCTTTTTCATTTTAGATGTTCCCTTTCAGCAACTCCCTCGTTAGCCAATGGGAAGGGAACCTGGTGGCATCAAAGCCCTTCAGAAGGGATTGGTGGTGTCCTATCAAGCATCCAAAGGAAAATGAGCTTTTCTTTGGATGGAATTATTACAAAGAGGCTTCTCCCAGGTAATAGTGACACACGGAAACTCAACGGATTTGGTAAAGCTCTTGGGAAGAGTCACAAACCTTGGTTTTGTCTGGCTGATGCTGGAAATGAAGAGTTTCGGAGACTTAACTCGTCAGTCCTGGCTTTGTGAACTGCTCTGGTGACCTGCAGCAGGTTAAAAAGAAAAAGGGGAAAAAAAAAACAAAAAAAAAAACAAAAAAAACAAAACCATGAGATTAATTATTTCATTAAATGACAAAGAGCACCCGGGATGGGCCGCCAAAGCCATGCAGGAGCTGGAGGAGAAGCGGGTCTGCATCCTGGTAGGAACCCGACGCGGCAGCAACAGATGTGGTAAGAAAATAAATGAATTAGTCTTTTTAGTTGTGGAATCGCCAAGCGAGAGGTTAGAGTAGAGTTTGAGTGAGTTGTAGAGTTAACACATGGGGGGTGAGACTTGTTATTTGAGGGGGGGCCGTGCGTGGAGGGGTGAGGAGAGCATTTCTGTGTGTGTTACCTCCATGTTGGGTGGTGTTCTCCAGGTCAGGAACCGCCTGGTGACTGGGGGGCCCCGGGGAGGTGACACGGGCACCTGCGCCCCGAGCCCTGCGGCAGAAGCCTGTTAGGGGCTCCTCGTGCTCAAAAGCAGGGTTAATCCTGACCATGATTGCTGGATTGCAGCTGGCGAGAGGAGGGCCTCTACAAGGCAGAACATTGGGGTTTAGGTAAGATTTTAAATTGCCAAAGAAATAATAGGAAAAAAAAATAATAATTTTGAAACGTGAAGGGGAAAAGATGGCGAGCGGCTTACTGCAAATTAGAGTTTCTTTTGCTTTTTCTTCTTAACTTAATAATTAAAACGATGGAAAGAAAACCAAGGCTCAGTAAGCCGAGAAGGAGAGGTTTAAAAATGAAGGGTTGTGTGGGCTCTGGAGCAGGTTTGGCGCAGCGCTCTCCTTGGTAAAGCTGGTGTCTGCCAACGGGGCATCTGAAACGGGGAGAGGAAGAGAAAAAACATGCACGGCTTGCAGGCAGAAAACACCCGGCACCTCACATGAAAACACAGGAAAATCTGCAATTAAATACAAACAGAGTATTCCAAATACCGTTGAGTGTTACGGGTCTGGATGAAATGACGTGGTTGATAATAGAGGAGAGAAAATATTCTTAAGAGTCACGAGTGTTAGACCAAAAGACACTGATACATTCTGTGCCAATCTATGGTTTTTAAGGCAATTGGGCATTTGAAGCATCTCTGGCAAATTTCCAGGTGAGGCTGAGATAATGTTTGTGGTTTAGAATCACAGAAGTTCAGGTGTGTTTTGGGAGGAAAGTCTAAACCCCTCTTTGAAGCCTCTGCCCTGTTTATCTGTGACTTCAGTCTGAGTGAAGGGCTGAAACAGGAGCTGGGCTGCAAACAGCTCCCTTTGGGTGAGGGAGAGGAATCGCCGTGTCTCAGGTGGGAGCACAGGGGATCTGGTCAGCAGAAAAACTGGTGTGGTTCCGGGGACATTCACAGGTCAAACAAGTGCTTAATTAAAGCAAATAATGGGCCAGAATTTTCTCCCTGCAGGCTGGGACTGGAGGTAAGTCAGTTTGTTTGTAACTCGCTGTTATTCAATCACATGAAAACACAGGAAAATCTGCAATTAAATACAAACAGAGTATTCCAAATACCGTTGAGTGTTACGGGTCTGGATGAAATGACGTGGTTGATAATAGAGGAGAGAAAATATTCTTAAGAGTCACGAGTGTTAGACCAAAAGACACTGATACATTCTGTGCCAATCTATGGTTTTAAGGCAATTGGGCATTTGAAGCATCTCTGACAAATTTCTAGGTGAGGCTGAGATAATGTTTGTGGTTTAGAATCACAGAAGTTCAGGCGTGGTTTGGGAGGAAAGTCTAAACCCCTCTTTGAAGCCTCTGCCCTGTTTATCTGTGACTTCAGTCTGAGTGAAGGGCTGAAACAGGAGCTGGGCTGCAAACAGCTCCCTTTGGGTGAGGGAGAGGAATCGCCGTGTCTCAGGTGGGAGCACAGGGGATCTGGTCAGCAGAAAAACTGGTGTGGTTCCAGGGACATTCACAAGTCAAACAAGTGCTTAATTAAAGCAAATAATGGGCCAGAATTTTCTCCCTGCAGGCTGGGACTGGAGGTAAGTCAGTTTGTTTGTAACTCGCTGTTATTCAACAAAAAGCTTCATTTATTGGTTTTATTACTTTTATCGTTTCAAGGACGGTTTGGTTATTGCTCTACATGGTCAGGGAACTTCTGAAAGGGAAAGGTGTTGTTTCCCTTAGTGTGTTGGTCCTGGAGGAGTCGGCAGTAGCTGCTGCTACTTGACTAAAGTTTTGAGGAGGAGCTCTTTAGGTGCAGCTGCACTCCTGGGACTGCACCAGGAATTCCTGATTTGAGGTGAGGAACTGAGCAGGAACTGCAGTGAATTCAGCATCATTTGAAGCCTCTGCCCTGTTTATCTGTGACTTCAGTCTGAGTGAAGGGCTGAGACAGGAGCTGGGCTGCAAACAGCTCCCTTCGGGGTGAGGGAGAGGAATCTTTGTGTCTCAGGTGAGAGCACAGGGGATCTGGTCAGCAGAAAAACTGGTGTGGTTCCGGGGACATTCACAGGTCAAAAGGTATGGGTTAGTGATGGTGATGCTTCTTCTTTGTTGTGTGGGTGTCTATTTTTGTCAAAATTAGGTTGACGGTTGGACAAGATGATCTTTAAGGTCCCTTCCAACCTAGAAGATTCTGTGATCACCCTCTCTTACCCTTTCCTGCTGGGATTCTGCTGATCATGCAGAAAATGACTGATGGCAGTGAGGTTGTTACAGTGACATTATCATACGAGCAATTTGCTATCTAGTCTTTTTTTTTTTTTAATGTTAATCGTTTCAAGGACGGTTTGGTTATTGCTCTACATCATCATCTGAAAGGGAAAGGTGTTGTTTCCCTTGGTGTGTTGGTCCTGGAGGAGTCGGCAGCTGCTGCCCCGTGAAATACACAAAAAGATGTGTCCTTAACCTGGTAAAGTCGATGTTAAGGGAGAATAAACAAGTGCAAGAATTGTAACTTGCCTCTTGCTTCTACACATGGCTGTCGCCTGCTGTGTCCAGCCTGCTCTGCAGAGCTTCACTCTGGATAATCCAGTCCTAAAATGAGCTCAAACCCCATACTTTAAAAGAGAATTAATGCTTTTGAGTGTCGGGGTAGTTCTCAGTATTGGCTTAATGTCATTTAATGTGAAAGTCCTCACGGAATGTGTTTGCAGGGACAGGGAGCTGCTGATCTGGTTTGTGGTGGGGTGTAGTGTGTGGGGTTGTGGGTGTGGGGTTTAGTAGGTGGGTGGTGGTTTTGGGTTTGTTGTTTCTGTGGTGGTTGTGGTTTTTTTGGTTGTTTGGTTTGGTTTTGGTTGTTTGTTTTTTTTTGTGGTTGGACTCGATGATCTCGGAGGTCCCTTCCAACCACTAAGAATCTGTGATTCTGTGATTCATCTTTGGGTCTTTCCCAGAAATCCCCGAAAGCAGCCTCAGCCTTCATGTGCCTCACTGGGATCCGAGCAGATCAGGGCAGGTGTGTTTATCAGAATATGGATTTCCTCGTTGATACAGCGTAGAAAAAATTAATTTCTTAAAATGGGAGTAGCATTCTTAAAATGCTACTCCGTTAATCAATAGCAGAGCCCTGAGTGTGGCGTTTCATTTCCGCAAGAGGCATTTGGGAATCTAAAATAATAGAACGTGGGGGTTTGTGCATGTCATCTCTGCCAGCGACGATGAATTTGTAATACATTTCTAAATTTCGAAATATTTCTAAATATTTCTTAAAAAAACCCCAAACTAGATCCTGATGGTTCCTGCGCACCAACAGGCAGAACCAGATTGATGGTTGGACTTGATGATCCCAAGGGTCTCTTCCAACCTGAATGATTCTATGATTCTATTTCACTGAATTTTAGAGTTGGAAGGGACCATAGAGATCATCTAGTCCAACTCCCCTGCTGAAGCAGGGTTGCCTAGAGCTTGTCAGAGCATGTTACTCAGGAGCATCCAGGCGGGTCTTGAAAATCTCCAAAGAAGGTGACTCCACACCCTCCCTGGGCAGCCTGTTCCAGGGCTCTGTCACCCTCACCGTGAAGAAGTTTCTCCTCATATTTGAGTGGAACCTCTTATGTTCCAACTTGTGCCCGTTGCCCCTCGTCCTCTCACTGGGAACCACTGAAAAGAGTCTGGTTCCCTCCTCCTTCAACCCACTCGTTCGTGACGCACTCGGAGAACTCGTCGCAGGCCAGGAACTTGCAGGGGTCGGCCCGGTCCGCTGCAAACGACGGGGGAATCATTAATTGGTGGGGTACCCCGGGGTGGCTTGGCAGGAGCAAAACATTCCCATTCGCTGGCCAGCACCTTAACAGAGGGTTTTGTCTAGTATTAATTAGGTATCAGGAAGAAATTCTTTGCTGTGAGGGTGGTGAGGCCTGGCCCAGGTTGCCCAGAGAAGCTGTGGCTGCCCCATCCCTGGAGGGGTTCAAGGGCAGGTTGGAGGGGGCTCGGAGGAAGGAATTTTTCACAAAAAGAGTGGTCGGGCATTGGAACAGGCTGCCCAGGGAGAGGGTTGAGTCACCATCTCTGGAGGTGTTGAAGGGACGTTTAGATGGGGTACTGAGGGACATCGTGTAGGGGAGGATTATGTAGAGTAGGGGAGATGGTTGGACTCAATGATCCCAAGGGTTTCTTCCAACCTGAATGATTCTATGATTCTATGGTCTGGTGGGAGGTGTCCCTGCCCAGGGCAGGGGGGTTGGAACTGGATGATCTTTGAGGTCCCTTCCAACCCAAACCATTCCATGACTCTATGATAAAAGGACACACATCCTTCTTTCTATTGATGACAGAGTGTGCAAGTTTCACAGAATCAAAGACTCATAGAATGCTAAAGGGTTGGAAGGGACCTCTGGAGATCATCCCCAATCCCTCTGCCAGCACAGGTCCTCCTAGAGCAGGTCCCACAGGAACGTGTCCAGGTGGGTTTTGCACATCTCCAGTAAAGGTGTTGTTTCCCTTGGTGTGTTGGTCCTGGAGGAGTCGGCAGCTGCTGCCCCGTGAAATACACAAAAAGATGTGTCCTTAACCTGGTAAAGTCGATGTTAAGGGAGAATAAACAAGTGCAAGAATTGTAACTTGCCTCTTGCTTCTACACATGGCTGTCGCCTGCTGTGTCCAGCCTGCTCTGCAGAGCTTCACTCTGGATAATCCAGTCCTAAAATGAGCTCAAACCCCATACTTTAAAAGAGAATTAATGCTTTTGAGTGTCGGGGTAGTTCTCAGTATTGGCTTAATGTCATTTAATGTGAAAGTCCTCACGGAATGTGTTTGCAGGGACAGGGAGCTGCTGATCTGGTTTGTGGTGGGGTGTAGTGTGTGGGGTTGTGGGTGTGGGGTTTAGTAGGTGGGTGGTGGTTTTGGGTTTGTTGTTTCTGTGGTGGTTGTGGTTTTTTTGGTTGTTTTGTTTGGTTTTGGTTGTTTGTTTTTTTTTGTGGTTGGACTCGATGATCTCGGAGGTCCCTTCCAACCACTAAGAATCTGTGATTCTGTGATTCATCTTTGGGTCTTTCCCAGAAATCCCCGAAAGCAGCCTCAGCCTTCATGTGCCTCACTGGGATCCGAGCAGATCAGGGCAGGTGTGTTTATCAGAATATG